ATTGTTTCTGGGCGATTGAGCTTGTTTTTGATAATGTCAAGGTAAGGTAGACATCCGATGGGAGTTTGTGGACGTTGAGCCGTGGGCGAGCTAGACATTTTCCGACATTCCGTCCTTTTCTTGCCTTGTTTGTCCCTGAGCTAGAGCAGCTGGATTATGCACAGCTGACTGGAGGCGACCTTTCGAGAAACGAAATTCCATGCTGCAATGATACCATTCGTACGTCAGGTAGCTCAGCTACCCTTGCTAATGCGGTTTTTCTAGACTCGGCGGGAGTTATGTACATTGCAGAAGTTGGCAGGGCCTAGGAACCGGAAAAGAGGCGCAGTTTTCATGGACAAATTTGAATTGGCATTGGGCCTGGGAGTGCATGAGTGCCTGAGCACCATTTGCCTCGGGAATGGGGTGATGGGGGACACGGGAAGTGTGAAGCTGCACTAGCCACAACACAGGGAAGTCGCATCTCGATCGTTTTTTTCCCCCTCCAGATTTTCGTCAATCCCTCTCCACTGTGTTTGTTTACGACAACCTTACATAGTGCGGGTGAGAGCCACAGAGCCTGAGGGCCTGAGGAAAATGCAGGGGAGTCGAGGAGGACTCGCTCCGGGACCTTGTCGCGGAAAACTCCCACGCGGGCATACGCGGGCGAAAAAGCTCGAGCTGATGGAGGATGATGTGCTAATCCCAGACGGCCCAGAAGGTCGACGGGAAGGGCTAGATGCGGATAGCTTGGGGGGTACGGAGTAACTACGAAAGTATGCGGGCCCAGGGAGAGAGAGGTCTCGACCAATCATCGGAGCAATTATGGGTGGACAGGCCTGGGCTTGTGGGTTCGGCGGGGAAGGTGGGTGGTGACATCACTCGACAGGTGACGACACCACGACATCGACAGCTGGGCGCCGTGAATGAAAGAGGCATAGCTTGGGTTTTGGAGAAGCTTGGGGTAACAGACATTGACACATCTCAATTGAATAGGTGAGCTGAGCTGAGCTGGGCGGTAGAGACGTGCGAGAGAGGGAAGAGTAAGAGAGAGAGAGACGGGAGAGAGCTCTGTGACATGTCTCTCCGTAGCGAATTGCCCACCCCTGCTTTGTACCATGTCCAGCTACGCTCTTAGTTCCAAAGTAGCTTCATGCTTCACGCTCTACCTACCGCAGTATGTATTTTTTTTTTTTCTGGCCTGAGGGAAGGAAGCCCAGGTCCAACCGATGATGGAATGAGACCTCGATCTGGCCCCTTCCCTTCGCGGCGCCAGAGGTACCACCACCGGCCAAGGTAGCTTCCCACGCTTCTCTCCTCTCTTGTTTCGCCCTGGGACGAACGAACAGGTACGAAGTAGTTACGCACTTGCCTTGCTCCGGTTACCTCCTTTTGCATTGCAGAGGCTGAGGTCACAGGTGGCTCACACACGCCGCCGCCCAGTTCTCTCTCTCTCCCTCCCTTAGCACATAAAAGCCTTTGCCCTCCCACCCATCTGGCTCTGTTTACATCACTTCAATTGATTCTCTTTTTTCATCACAACAAGATACCCCAGAAATCAGCCATCATGTCTCTGCACTGTAAGTCGCTATTCCCATTCCGTTGCGGGAGAGAAGCTGGAGGAAGCATCACACCTTCTCTGCGTAGCTCTACTTAGCTACCTCGCTCGCCCTCTCATCCAGACTTCCCGAGGGAGAATGCGCCTTCGTTGGACTCGAGAGAAGGCCCAGCCATCATCAGTTGAACAATGACTAACAACCTCCTGCAACAGACCTTCCCCCCGTCAAGCCTTCGGCTATTGCCCTCGGCACCATCTTCAACCACACGGCTGAGCTCGCTGGTACGTGGAATGTCCTTCACCAAGCTCCTGGCCAGACAGACCTGCGCCATTCCATGACAGAATCAGCTGACCCAAGTTCTTCCCCCCTCAACAGTCTTGACCCCCATTTTCGGCCAGACCTACCAGCGCGCCAAGGCCGCCAACACCAAGGAGGAGTTCGCTCGCTCCAAGGAGGCCCAGGGTGCCGCCGTCGCCTGGGGTACTTCCCTCGTCGGCTCTGCCCTTCAGTCCTACGGTGTTGGTGCCCTCATCAACGCTACCGGCACCCTGTCCTACAAGGGCGCTGCTTACCTCGGCTCTCTCATCTTCTTCGCTACCTCTGCTCCCGGCGTATGTCCTACCTCTGTCCCTTCATCATGATCCATTAGCTGACAAATATGTAGTACATCTCCCAGGTCTTCGTCGAGAAGCGCCCTGTCGACACTGTTGGCGTCAGCGTCCTGGCCAAGGTCATTGAGACCGTCGGTCTGTCAGTCTTCCTCACCTGGTGGGGAACCCGCACCAACCCCTTCGACTAAAGGGTTTAATGTATTATGAATGATTGAGCATTCCTGGAAAACGGATTGCTTGTGTGCTACTACCGTTGGGTTGGATGGAATGAGGACATGGAGTTCAAAGATAGCCAGCAATTGCGGCTAGGGCCATTGTCATGTACCTACACTTTTACGTCTCAAGCCATGATTTTAATCGATCACGTCACATGATGCTACTCTTGTTCTTCTGTGTGATTCAAGTGTGAGCTACTCACCTATGATATGAGCATGTATGGTTGTCTGAAAGATGTTTACGTTTACTCAAGTTCAAGTTAAAAAACACGTGAAGGGAAGATCTAGCAGTGGCGTGATGTAAGAGCTGGGTCTAGTCAAGAATAGCAAAGGTCTTGGACCTAGAGCATTGTGTTGGGCTTTGCAGGTATTGGCAGCGTTGTCTCCCAATCAGTAAACGTTGCTTGCCACTTGGCAAGGGTTTTCACAAGCCGCCAACACCTTGAACCATCCAAGAGCCTCATCGCAAAATGCCTTGGAATGATTACCCATATCATTAACAACTCGTTCATGGAGGAGGGAAGCATGAGTGCTTTCCTTTGACAGGCAGGTCTTTCTTAAATTGAAGGGATACACATCACAACGTAAACGGCCAATGGAACTCCATCAGCAGGACATAGTGCCTTGAAAGGTCCTCGCCCAGGCAAAAGGTCACGTTATTCCCGTAAAAGGGAAACATCAAAAGGGCTCCCGATACCTTGTGTCAAAGAGCCTCGGCAAAGCAAGAAAGTTCCTCCACACCTCCGCACCCTTGAAGGTTCCAACGGAAGTTGTAATGATGGTTAAATCATTTATTTGTGTTTCTTCTTTCCTCAAGACGAAGTCTTGAAAGATGGAAAGAGAGAAAAGGAGTAGTGCAAACAGAAGAGTACTACACCAAATGCCCAAAGTTGCCCTGTAAAACGCCGATTCTTTCTCGTTTGTGCTTGTAAAACCAGCCAAAAAAAGCTTTTTTTAAACCCCACCCGTATAGTGTGACAATTCATCATTTCTTTCAACTGTACTTTCGGTTCGACATGTCGCGTATGCCCGTTCCGGTAAGACGAAAAGCAAACGTACTTGTCTATGCCCAGAAGGACTGCTTGGCGGTCTCCTTCTGCACAAGCTTCACAAGCGCAGCGTAGACCTCGGAGTAATCCTCGCCGTCGTCCTCGTCGTCGTCGCCGCCCTTGGACTCCTTCTTCTCCGCCTTCTTGCTGTCGGCGGCGGAGCGCTTCTCCGAGACCATGACGACGGAGGTAGGGCGCTTCGTCTTGGCGGCGGCGCCGAGCTCGGCGCGGGAGGTGACGAAGATGTAGGGGACGTTGTGGTCCTCGCAGAGGACGGGGAGGTGGGAGATGACGTCCATGGGGGAGATGTCGCCGGCGATGACGACGACGCCGGGGAAGGCGGTGTTGCCGGGGCCAGCGGCGGGGGACTTGCGGAGGGTCTTGACGACTTCTTTGACGCCACGCTTGAGGGTGTTGTTCTTGGCGGCTGTGTGGAGGTGTTTGTTAGTCTTTTGTTTTGAGAAAGAAGAGTCTTCCTGCTGGCCGACGATTTCTGCGTAGGGATCGCGTCTTTGCATGAGGGGAGGGAGCGGAGAAAAGAACTTACCCTTGCGAATGGACTTCATAACCTTCTTCATGGCCTTCTCATCAGCCAACGGCACGGCAAAGGGCACGAGGGCGCCAACGACGGGGAGGCCATCGGCGACAACGGTTGTGACATCGCCGCTAGCAACGGTGGTGGCGGCGACGTCGGCCTGGAGGTGCTCGTCGAGGGCGCGCTCGAGCTTCTCCTTCTTCTCCTTCTTGTCCTTCTTATCCTTCTTATCCTTCTTGATGGCGCCGTCGGACACGGAGCGCTTCTTGTCCTTCTTCTCCTTGCGGTCGGGCTTCTCGGCGGCCATTGTAGCGGTGCTTTCGGATATTCTTACTTGAATCCTGGTTTGAATGAGAGACAATTGGCGATTGGCGACGGTGAGGAGAGTTGGAGGTGGGCGGGCGACGATCGTGGGAATTGAAGCTTTCGGCTCGAGGTCGATAGGCTCGATATTTTTTTTTTGTCTTCCTGTACCCTTTGGCCAGTGCAACTTTTTTTCTAGGTTGCCCCACCTTTGCAGCTGTGCGATTGGGGAGCTTCGGTGCAGCGGTATATCCGTGCCGAACTGGATTGGTTTTTGCTCACCGAAAGTCACATCTCGGTGAAGCGGTCACGTGAGAAGCATCGACCAATCATGATTCAGACATTGAGCAAATGTCAGCGCAGTATCAGGGCCGCAGACATGATTCAATTTCCGCGGACAATACGAACGCATTGGAGAGTCGGGCTACTCGTCTCACTAGATTCAGGCTAAGCAGCTGGATATGTACCAGTTGGCGGCATGGCAAAGCAGGGTGTTGTGACATCTTCGACTCAGACACTCGCCTCAATGTTTCATGCCTTAGGAAGATCCGTTGTGAGTCGAGGAACGAGTCAACATCTAATAATGTGAAATACGTCTTCAATCATAGATTATGTGACAAGCTTAAATCGTCCAAATGGGGCTCTATTCCATGTCTCCCCCTCTACGTAGTTGATATACACGTGTTTTGACACAGGGAATCGTTGTCCGCCTCTAGTACTCGTCGTCCGCCTTCTTCACAAAGAATCGTTTACTCCTCATCACCGAACTCGGCGCGGCCCTGCTTGGAGTTCAGGTAGTGGTTGCTGTATCGAATGTTAGCGCCATGCCTCTGCTTCATTTCGAATTGCCCCTGTTGCTGTTTTTGTTGTTGCAACAAAGTCCGTGAGAGTGACTGACCGGTGGGTGGCCCAGTCCATGATGTACCAGCCGGCGACCAGGGGAGGAAGGAAGTAGAGGACCTGATGGCTGAAGCGGCGCCAGGTGTTGAAGACGGCGTCGTGGGCGGCACCGGCGAAAGGGTTCTGACGGTTGGGGGTGATGCCGTAGGTGATGATGCCTCTCTGCTTCTCGCCACCTGTGACTATTGTCAGTGCTTATGTTCGATTCGAAGTCCGTATCGTTTGTGCATCGTGGTCGGCCGTCAAATCCTGGATGAATTCCTCCTCTTTGTTTCTCCATTTTCCGAAAACCATTGTCCATCATTCAACCGCGTCGCCATCGTAAATCGACATCGAGAAAATCGCGAGAAGACATACCAATATGTCCCCACCAGCCGAGGTAGCTATTCCAAAGTTAGCGAGATGTTCGCACGACGCAATTGGGAGTGATGCACGGCGCGGCGGGCAGAAGGAACCTCACGATCTTTCTCACTCGGAAAAAGCCCGCACGCCCCTTCCCGTTCGCCTGCTCAATTGACGTCCAACGAAGACTTGTTACTTACTGAGAGTACTTTCCGTGGGGGACGCTGGGTCCTCCCATAAGAGCTTGCGTAGGTCTCATCGTGGCGGTTGTGCTGTGGTGGACGGTGATGTGCAACACGGGTTGGATATTCTGGAGTAAACCGGAGAGGGTCGAATCGGACGAGGTTCAAATCTTGTCCTTGCCTTTCCTGCCGAACCCGAAAGCTGAGGCGCACGTCCCAAAACGGCTTAGCGCACACTGTCCCTTTCAAACCGTCACCACCCATCCGACCACCCCGGTCACCCAGTGCGTCCCAAAATTCCATGACGGAGCTTACCGCCGCCGCATTCTGGTGAGAGGAGCTTTCGGCAAGCTTCAGTCCTAACGGATACACTGCACCACCAGCCCACCACCACCACGACAACGACTCCGGAAGCCCACCTCGGATAGCCCGCGATACCCTCCAGCGGACTCGAAACGCCACTCTACTGAAAGCAACCGAACCCTACCGTCATATTTTCTCTTCGCCGTCCGACATAATGGCTCAAGCTCTGGGCTTTGCGTACCGCATGGCCGTCCCTGCGGCCATTGGTATCGCGGTTGTGCAGTCGTCAATCTACGATGTCAAGGGTGGATCCAGAGCAGTCATCTTTGACAGAATGTCCGGTGTCAAGGATGCCGTCATCAACGAGGGCACGCACTTCCTCGTGCCGTGGCTGCAGAGGAGCATCATCTTTGACGTGCGGACGAAGCCGAGAAACATCGCGACGACGACGGGCAGCAAGGATCTCCAGATGGTCAGCTTGACCCTCCGTGTGCTGCACCGGCCCGAAGTCCAGGCCCTCCCCAAGATCTACCAGGTAAGATTTCTTGTCTATTTTCTTCTCTATTCAAACCACGGCTTCCTTCTGTGCGAGAAAAGTACAACATACGCTGACAAACTATTCTCGACAGAACCTCGGCCAAGACTACGACGAGAGAGTCCTCCCCTCCATCGGAAACGAGGTCCTCAAGTCCATCGTCGCCCAGTTCGACGCGGCCGAGCTCATCACCCAGCGCGAGGCCGTCTCCCAGCGCATCAGCTCCGACCTCCGCAAGCGCGCCGCCGAGTTCAACATCGCCCTCGAGGACGTCTCCATCACGCACATGACCTTCGGAAAGGAGTTCACAAAGGCCGTCGAGCAGAAGCAGATTGCCCAGCAGGACGCCGAGCGCGCGCGCTTCATTGTCGAAAAGGCCGAGCAGGAGCGCCAGGCCAACGTCATCCGCGCCGAGGGCGAGGCCGAGTCCGCCGAGACGATTAGCAAGGCCATTGCCAAGAACGGCGACGGCCTCGTGCAGATTCGAAAGATTGAGGCCGCGCGGGATATCGCGGCGACGTTGTCGTCGAATCCGAATGTCGCGTACTTGCCGAGCGGCGGTAAGAGCGGTAACCAGATGCTGTTGAACGTTGGCCGGCCGTAAAGTGGTTGTTGAATGTCAAGGAGGAGGAGTGAGTGAAGGAAGTAGTGAAAAAAAGGGCGACGTTGTATTATAGACTTTGAAGGCAAGTCACCGCTTCAATAAGTGTAATCATAGGGCAATGAATTCTGCCGCCTTTCCACACACTTGTTTCGTGCCGTACCCTTGGCTTTGGTGAAAGCCCAACTCATGGGCGGGCTGAAGAATAAGCTGTGAAGTGTACGCATTGGTTGTGAGATGCAGAGCTCTCTCTTGTATTCATACCTCTGAGAGTACCCTGGGAGCACCCGAAGATGAATACGGAGAGCACTTGCGATATCTCAGACAGCCTCGCTAAATGATAAGAAGTTAATCTCATCGGCATTCCTACACATACTTCTCCAACATGACTTCTGGTCACTTCATATCCCCCCTCTTTTCCCGATTTTTGAGTTGTCTGTGTTTTAGCAACTTATCTTGTATTAACCCCCCCTCCCCCTTGGTAGAGACCATACGACACTTACTCGAGGGATCAAGAAACGCCAGGCGGGTATGCTGTTACTCAATGTATAGGTACATGTTAGATAGTCGCACACGAGCAGTCACATTGTGGGGGGAAAAAAGGTAAGAATAATCGAGTGACAATGGTCCCATGTACCAATTAGTATTAAAGAAACCCCATGTAGGGCAGGTATCATAACTGCAAAAGCCCATTGACCCAAGGCATCATGTCCGATGACCCAAAGTCTTCCCCAACGCCAGCTCATTCTCTCGTAAAATCAACCATGTGCTATGCTCACCCGGCTCTAAAGGGCAGATTCAAGGAACTCGGCAGTCAAGTGACCGTTGAAATCGTCCACCTTGCCACCAGGAGGAACGAACTCGCCGCCCTCGAGCTTCCAGCCTTTGAGCTTCATGCTCTTCCATTCCTCCGAGAGCTTTAGACGCACGAGATCTCCTGCAGCCCGGGCATCTTCCGCACTGTCGTGTCCCTGAACCTTGCCAGCCGTCTCAACTTGGATTTTACGGTTGAGAAGGCTGTCCATGAGCATCTTCAGACCAAGGCGGTAGGGAAGACCGTGCTTGTGAGGGTAAAGAAGAACGGTGTCGATGACGGTAGGATGAACGATGCGAACGGCGTTCAAGTCATTCTCCAGTCCGTGTCCAATCAGTGGAGTCTCGGGGCTAATGAGGGCAAAGAGAAGGTCGCGGGCAACTTCAGGCGAGGACACGATCTTCATCTTCTTCTTGGTCTTCTTGGGGCTCGACATCTTCTTCGCCTGGGCAGGAGTTGGATCCTCTTCCTTTGCAGTCCAGGGAACCGCGGATGCCATGTCTTCAGGCCACACACCTGAGTAGCGCGAGTTGAGGTCAAGGATCTCACCGATGGGTTGAACGAGGACGTCCAATAACTCCTCTCCATTAGGCCACGACGTTGCAGTGAGGCGAATGAGCTCAAGACCATGGACCGTGTAGCACATTTCGCAGTCGAAGCCAACAGCTCTGTCGGTGGGAGCATTGGGATTGGCAGGTGTCTCGGCGTAGTTGAGAACAGACGCAAGTCTCTTGGGATCCGATGCCTTGAAGACATGGTGAGCGTTGGAGTGGCAGCCGGCAGAATCTCCGACGGCCTGTCCACAGCATCGGTAACGTTTGGGTTGCTGGGATCTATCGCCCATCTGGCGCTCGGGGAAATAGGTCTTGCCCCAGTGGAAGGTGCAACTGCCACCAGAGGCGAGAGCTCCATCCTCTTCTCTTCTACCCGGGAACATCTGGAAGCGCTTGTCGCAGCGGTCACACTTCTCCCAACCCTTTGCAGCATCAAGACCCTCACGGGCCTTCTGGATGTCGGCCTCGGCAGGGACAGATGAGACGTAGCCGTGGGCGGCAAGGCCGTCGATGGGGGTGATGAGTTGGCGAACAAGCTGAACTTCCTGGGCCGGGGTCAAGCCCGTAACAATCTTCTTGGGAGGGGCGGTAGCCTTGTTGTGAGGGCCCTTTTGAGTCGTCTGGCGGCGTTGAACGACTCTCTCCTCCTTCCACTGAAGGAGTGTCATCTTTTTGTACTGCATGATTTTGTTTTTTATTACGTTTGAATAGATGGCGCCTTTCTCTATCGCCGTGGATTCTTCTTCGTCAAGGACTCTCCAAATGAGATCTTGGTCTGTGAGAAGGAGCTGCTTCTCTTCTGCGTCTTTGGCAGTCTTCTTGAGCTCGTTGTTGAGGCGAGCGTATTGTTCATGTAGCAACTGCACGAGCTTGAAGCGAATCTCAAACTTTGCCGGTGATGATTTGAGTAAACGAGGGTTGAGAGCCTCGGCCTTCCTGATCTTCTTAGGAGGGTCGGTCTTGGACGGGGTGGAAGGAGTGTCTTTTTGTACTGAGGCTGAATTTACTGGGGAAGAATAAGATGTAGTAGTGGTGGTGGCAGGTGAATCAGCCTTGCGTTTGGTTGGAGGATTACTAGAAGATGATAAAGGAGAGGACCTGCTTGGAGCAGAGTGATTCAGTGACTTCCTGAGGTCGGACGAAGAAGCGAGAGAAGGTGCGACTGGTTTAGACTGTGGAAGCTTCTTCACGACCGTGGAGGAAGAGGAGGATGATGGACGCTTTAAAGGTGGAGGTGAGATGGGCCGAGCGACAGGTGACAGAGTGTCATCTGGTCTTGGTGCGGTAACGTCTTGTTTTGAGGTCGTTTTGACAGGAGTGGGAGGACTTGTAGAATCGGCGGGGTTTCTGACGTCTTGGGCAGCCTTCAGACGTTTTCGAGGGCCATCCCGGGTTGCATCCGTCGTGGTATCAGTCGACCTTTTTGCCGACGTTCCTAACGCGTTGAGTGCCGGTGCTGAAGGTGCCGCCATCTTATCCCTGTCTGCTTTATGCTGGAAGAGGCACATGAAAGCAGTGCATTGCTCTCCCTTGGGACAGGGAATGTGTTTGAGGTCTACAAAGGACATTGTGACAAGACTTTCCTCAGAAGCTGTAAAGTTACAATAGTTCTGTTGAACAATGGCAGGAGCGCCAGACGCGGCTGCTTCCTTTCTCGTCTGTTACTACACAGTTGAGGAAATGGAAGGAACGAAAGTGACGGAGATGGGAGACTGCCAGAGCCTCGTTTGCTACTACGTCAGGAAGTATACTACGTCAGGTGTATACACAGAGGAAGCTGCAAATGGTGAAGAGAGTGTGGGAGGAGACTACTGGCTGTTGGTGTGGGAAAAGCCTAAGTGAGCTCGAGAGGGATAGAGATAGATTGAGTGTGAAAGCGCCGATTAAGGCCTCGAAGATCCGGGGGAATGGTGCGAGGATCTCATAGCCAAAATGGCAGAAAGCAGACGTAGACGTAGACGCAGACGGGGCCAATGTCGTTAGGTCAGGTTGTGACGTTCCAGTCGGAGAATTCGCGGGTCCACGGACAAAGGGGACGTTGGTCGGTTGTGGCGCGTAGACCGGGCGAGGCTGACACAAGAATGAAGTAAGATTGGGTGATGATCCAAAAAGACGATAACGGGAATATCCAAGGCATAAAGATGGGTTGGTTTGGGACAGTGTCACAGATGGTTGATGTGTCTCGAATCTTGTCGGAGTTGGGATGAAGGGAGGCTCCGAGCGTCTGGAAGGATTACCTAAGGTGCGTATTTACTGCGGAAGGCCAGCTTGAAGCTCTAGTGGGGCCGTTGACCGAGAATAGCACTGGATCTTTCACTACCTAGGTACCTGACGGGGATGCACTTATCTCCACTGTCGGTCTGGATCTTGCAGTTTCCAATGCATTCTGAGTACCTCGTCGTCACCTTCCCCTGCCACGCAATGAGGGCACGCAACGATCAAGGTTGCCAAGACGTCCATGTCCTGGCAAGACAAGGCAACAGGTCTAGCTCATCAATCGAACCGTCGACGTAGGGAAGATGGGCTGCGATTGAGCTTCAAGGTTGCACCCTCTATTGTCCTTTTACACCGAAAGTTGTTTCGACGCCGTTACATCACCCACCTGAGTCAAGATGAGAGTTTACCAACCATCAATCATCTTTTTGCAGCTTGCGGCCTGCCTGCATACGAACACCCGAAAACGGCAAGGCCATCCACGCAAGCCAGGTCTGCTATCGACCTGTCACTTTTCTGAATAAGCCCAGCATCTTCATTCCTGAATTTTGGAGAAATCGGTAGGCCCGCGATATCTCCCTCCATGGTCGTCCAGGACCCTCCATGAGGAGTCTTGCCCACAGTATATCGTTATTAGTTCCAGGTACGCAAACTTTATTTCATCCACCGTCTCATCTTTGGAAGCCCAGGAACCAGCCCGATAATACACACGGGCATTTCCACCCGCGCCAAGACATCTTGGAGATACTTACATCATGGCAGAGAGTGTATTAATCGCACAAAGTACACTACAGATAAGGCTTGATTCACGAAACCAACCTGCACTGCTCTTCCGTCACATCGCACTTTATCAATCTCAGTACCTATATCTGACGCCAGCATGGCCAAGCCCCGCCGTGCTCTCGTTTGTTTGTGCTCGCAGCTCGTCAGATCCGACATCTCTTATCGGATCCGCGCGAGGCTGCACAGACATGGTCTCGCATGTGATATGATGGACCTGCTGATCAACCTGTCCTCCCTTATCCACCACAGCCCCTCGTTCTTGAGGTGTTGAGTTACCACTATGTATGTACTCCATACGGAGCACATCAATAAGAATGCAGCCTTCGGACCTTCCTTGCATGGGCAGGGTGACGCAGTCACGCAGAGACACAGCGCAGGCAGAGCAGGAGAGTCAAAAGCCAAAAGACGCCCGCCAACCTAACGAAGCCGCCAGCCATTTCTCCTGCCCGCTGATAACGGGACTGCGGTATCAGAGCCCCGGCGAGTGCTAGTGGCAGTGGCAGCAAAAGAAAGGGCGAAACCATGGGCAGCCCTGGTCTCGAGGATGGACTTGCCTATCGCGGTGCAACGGTTGGACAAGAGCTATTGGCGGTGAATATCCCGTAGCGCAGAGTCTGAGTACGGCCGGGAGGTATGTCCTGCCTGTCAGTGTCACTCCTGTGCTGGGCCGTTTATCGAGGAAATCGTTATCAAGGAGCGAGATGAAGCGAGGGGTTCACAAACTACTTTGGCTTGCTTCCTGTACGATGCTATCTTTCAATCTTGGGCCGTCTATAAATGAGGCTTCGATGCCCACCACCTGGATGAAGTTTGATTTCCGAGAACCTTTGCCTTGGCAGAACGGAAAGTCGCACAACGAAGCAATTCTCTTGAATAAGGTACGCGCTTGCGAAGCGAAAGCTGGAGATCACCGTGACGTACCTAGTGGATGAACACCAAACACCAAAGTCCATCTCGCAATTGGGTTCTCACGCACCCGCCCTATCGACTACTTCGTATCAGCGGCGAGTGGGCGGCCGGCGCGCAAGTTCAGCTCAGGGTCCTCACCACCTCGCGGGACGTTTTCGTCCCTTCGTCTTACTCTCGAGTTTTCCCCCAAAACCGACCATCTTGCGAGCTCACCCAACCCAGGATTACCTACAAACGGACAGACTTGCAGCTTGAGGTGTCGTCACGGGATCGCAATCCCGACAAGCTGATTCCACCCCACCAACGGCCGCGAAGTCGTCCTGCAGCTCCCTCCACTTTATCAGCAAGGTCCCAATCGAGACGTCGCGTGCGCGCATTCCATTCCCGTCTACTGTCTAGGTACCTCGATCCCTACCTTACCGACAGCTTACCCTTGGTAAGGTTAGTTACCTCAGGGTAAAGTACGAGGTGTGGTTAGCAGGCAAACACAGATTCTGTCCAATCAACAAACAGCTTGGACGAGTAGTTGCGGCCTGCAAAGGAGACAGGAGGAATCATCAGGCCGCTGGAGCCACGCGGCGCACGGAACCCTCACCCAATCGCGGCCTGGGAGCACACCACCACAGGAGACTACCGGAGCAATCGTGGTGCTAAGCCGCCTTATCTCCCCCTTAAATCCAGGGGACTCACATACGCCCCTCAGCGTTACGGGCAGCAAAGCAGCAAACGCCGCTCCGCCAGCGTGCGGGAGAGCCCGGTGTTGGGGCCTAGGGCAGTGTTGGTGTTATTGAATTTCACCTCACCAGCCACCAAGCAGCTGTCTACTGTCCTGAGCGGACTTCAGACGCCCCCCCCCCCTCCACCTCGACGGTCGGGCTTCGCGGATTGTCCGTTGGAGGGACTCTTGTGGTCGCCCCGAGAATTTAACTCGGAGCGCGTCCCACTGGAGCTTCCCTTCGACGCTCTCCATCGCAACTTTTCTCAACGTTGTTACCCTTTTCTGTTCGCTCTATTAACCGGTCCCTGATCTCATCCTACGACTATCTAATGGATTACACCGGAGGCACCGCAGAGGCCGACCATCTCTGCGTCTTGGTCCATGGGGTGAGTTTACTTTTACACCTTACACGTTATTCCCTGTCTTTTTCTCCCTTTCTGCACCCGTCTGCAGTCTGCAGCACCGTTTCCCACGACGTCATGAATGTTTCTGAACTAACGCAACGCCGCCTCGGCTCCATAGCTTTGGGGTAACCCCAACCACATGGCCCAGATCGCCAAAAGCTTGCGCGCCAAGTACTCTGCCGACAAGCTACACCTGTTACTTGCGAAGCGAAACAGTGGCTCTTTCACGTACGATGGTATCGAGCGTGGTGGTGAGCGCGTGTGCGCCGAGATCGAGGAGGAGCTGCGCCTCATTGAGGAGAAGGGCGGCAAGATCACCAAGCTGAGCATCGTCGGATACTCGCTCGGAGGTCTCGTCTCCCGCTACGCAGTTGGCCTACTTCACTCCAAGGGCATACTCGATACCGTGGAGTGCATGGTGAGAGAGAAATCTCTTGATGCAGTAAAGAACGATGACGACTAACTTGTGGTAGAACTTTGTGACTTTTGCCACGCCACACCTCGGCGTCCGTACACCACTCCGGGGATGGCACAATCACTTGTGGAATGTTCTTGGAGCTCGCACCCTATCCATGTCCGGCCGTCAGCTATTCACCATCGACAACTTCCGCGATACCGGCCGACCACTCCTCGCCGTTTTGGCCGATCCAGACTCCATTTTCCTCGCCGGACTGAAGCGATTCAAACGTCACACTCTATACACCAATATCGTCAACGACAGAAGTGCCGTACACTATACCACCGGCATTACCAAGACTGACCCTTACACCAACGTCGACAAGATCAAAGCCAATTTCTTGGACGGCTACGAAGATGTTATTCTCGACCCCAATCATCCCGTGGCGCCAAAGCCAAAGATCTCAGAGCCGGCCACATTTTCGTCTGTCGCCGGTTCAAGCTGGAAATGGATCAAGCGCGTTCCCTTCGCCATTGCCTTGACGATTTTCGTCCCCGTTGGTATAATTGCGTTCCTATTTAGCTCTGTTGTCCAGACGGTCCGTTCATCGAAACGCATTCAATTGCACGAAAAGGGGCTCGCAGGAGTGGCAATCGACGAATACCGCGGCCCGCTTTGGATGAAGGAGATTCGGGAGGAGGTCGAACACGTGTACGAGACTCTGAACAGCTCGCAAGACCAAGAGTTCCTGGGCAGTGAATCGGAGGAGGATCTGGACGAGGTCGAAATGGATCGCAGCACCACGCAGCTCCTGGCTAGGGAAAGGCGCATGTCGGTGCCGTCGCAGCCTACCCTCGCCTTGGCGCCCTACCAGTTCCAGATGATTCAGGCCCTCGATTCTGTGGGCTGGCACAAGTATCCTGTTTGGATCCACAAGGACAGGCACAGCCATGCTGCCATTATTGTGCGTTGGGAGAAGAAGACATTCGGCGAGGGCCACGTCGTGCTCAAGCACTGGCTTAACGAAGAGTTCGCGGTCTAGACGATGTGGTTTTGGTGTTGTTTTTTGGAATCGGAGTTGGAGCTTGGAGTTGGAGAAGCGATGGGTTTAGAGTTCAAATTACCTCTTGTACAAATTATGTTCAACCGTGTGTTTCTTGCACCACAGATTTTTGATACCTGAGTGATTGTCGCAGCTAGGTTATACAGTCTAAGCAGATTCAAATGTGAGCTGTCTGCTTGCACTTCCCGTATGAACCTAAACATTACCAGAGAAGGCGTGCTGATATGTATCGTTCCAGTCAGATGTTGCCTACTATCTTTGGATACGATGATTCTGGTGAGTTACCCAGCACCAGGTAGGTCCGGTCCATAGGGTCCCAAATCGCACCAACACGTTATAAATAAACACCCTTCAACAAAGTAATAACCTTATACGATTATCTCAGGCTCGGAAACCTTCCATTCGCAGAACCGTTCCGTCTTGTCCCCTATCCTCCCGCTTCTTCCCTCTCACCCGTGACCACCAACCACAACCCTATCAAAAGTACCTTTCCCTCATCCCGCACGAATCGGAGCGTCATACAGACCAGGATACGGCTTCTCGCTTAAGCAGACTGGCAACCCCGGCTATCCGGGCGGCACTAGGCTTGGAACAGGCATGGTGTCCACAGGGGTCTTGCACCCCCCCTTCCCCCTCCGGCTCTCCCCATCCCCCGGCTCTTGATTCACAAGCCACACAGGTGGTCCGTGGGCGGAACGAGAAGTCGAGGACCAATGGGTTTACGATTACGCCGACGGCGCGTTGGGCGCGTTGAAGGGGGGTGCACAAGTCCAGTGCGTCGTTGACGGCGGGAGCTCTTCCTTTGACAACCGCGCACATCATCTGGGGAAGAAGCCAAAGAGCGATTCTTTCTGGTTGCCTTTGCACAGTTTTATTTCTACCTAAACCTCCTAATGTCCACCGCCGCAGCGATATGCATGTACAGGTTATGATCACGCACCTCACTTCACGATGAAGACGTCGAAACTAGCAAAAGAGACATCAGCGCTGTTCAACAAGATGGCGGCATCATCGCCGCCGCCGGCGCCACAGACCCGCCGGACGACGAGATCTTCGCTCGCGCGGTTCGCATACGCATCGACTTCAACGTCTGCGACAGAGTCCAAGACGACAGCTTCGACGACAGCCACGGAAGCCGCGCTTCACGATATAGTCCTAGGCGTCGCCGACATTGAAGATGCGGTCCCCGACTCGCGGAGCAGGAAGCGCAGACGGGTTGTCAAAGAGGAGGAAGCACATGGCGAGGAGAGTGTCACAGGTGAAGCAGCAGCAGCAGCAGCAGCAGCACCACCACCACCAAGAACGACAGCAAAGTCACGAAACAGAATCAAAACCGAGCACATCGACACCGAAACCACATCACCACCAACCCCTCCGAAAGCCCGCAAAACCCGTAAACCAGCACGCACAATCCGCGGCACGTCCCCCTCCTCTACCTCAGCACGCGTCGAACCCCCAACAGACTGGTTGCAAATCTACAATACAGTCAAGGACATGCGCCTCCACGGCGCCGCGCGCAACGCTGCCGTCGATACAATGGGCTGCGAACGCCTCTTCCACCCCGAGGCCTCGGAACGCGACCGGCGCTTCCATATCTTGATTGCGCTCATGCTCTCGAGCCAGACGAAAGATACGGTCAACGCGGTGGCGATGAAGAGGTTGATGACGGAGCTGCCGCCGCACGAGGAGGGCGCAGAGGGCGGTTTGTGTTTGGAGAATGTGTTGGCTGTGGAACCTGCGCTGTTGAATGAGTTGATTTGGGCGGTGGGGTTTCATAATAATAAGACAAAGTATGTTGTCAGTTTTTTTTTAGTTTTTTTTTTTGTTGCTTTTGGCGATGGATACCCACGGAGAATGGTCCGGTTTGGTCTGGGTGTAAGTGGCAGGAAACCGAAAATGCTGACGTTGAATGTCCTAGATTTATCAAAGCAGCAGCCATCGTCCTCCGCGACAAATTCAACAGCGACATCCCCGACACGATCGAAGGCCTCACCTCCCTACCCGGCGTAGGCCCCAAGATGGCCTACCTCTGCCTCTCCGCGGCCTGGGACCGCACCGAGGGCATCGGTGTGGACGTGCACGTGCACCGCATCACGAACCTCTGGGGCTGGCACAAGACGACGCAGCCCGAGGCGACGCGGCACGCGCTGCAGAGCTGGCTGCCCAAGGACAAGTGGCGAGAGATCAACTGGCTACTCGTCGGGTTCGGGCAGACGGTCTGCTTGCCTGTCGGGCGCAAGTGCGGCGACTGCGAGCTCGGGCTAGGCGGGTTGTGTAAGGCGGCGGAGAGGAAGAAGGTGAATGAGGGGCGTAGGATGAGGGAGGTCAAGGTTGAGGTGAAGGAGGAGAATCATGGAGACGTAGTCGTCAAGACGGAAGAGGTTGTCAAGGACGAGCAAGTCATTCGTGATGCGGTTGTGAATCAAGAGACAGGGCAGTCGGAGCCGGCATCGGAGCCGGCGGTTGGTGATGCACCGGATGCAGCCGTGAGTACGGATGCACCGCGAAGAAGCCGCAGGAGCGGTCCATCTCGATGACAGCTAGAGCAAGATAACGAAGTTAATGTACAACACTTGTCGTAAATGAAGCCATTGGCCCATATCGTCATAACCACCAGTTGTGCGGTGTCCGTACGGAGACGGGAATGTGCACAATCAACGCTGGGGCGGATATCCCAGAAATGACGTGCGGTCCGCCGGCAACGACAAATCGACCACGCGACCAGTGAACCAGCGGAATGACCGGGGTCCTACCTGTCTCGTTCTCGGGGGTCGGTGGAGAAGCGGGGGACCCGAACAGACTCGGAGGAATTCCGAATTTCGATGTTTGCCTGCGGAAAGGGCAGTTGAAGAGTCATTGCCGTGCCTGCCGGTCACTCCCGACACTGTGTGTACTGTGTTGTGGTGAGTTGTCAGCTGGTCCGTGCAGGATACTGCGTTGAGAGAAGATGAAAGACGGTGGCAGAATGATGGGGGCGACTATGAGATGTGCGAGATACGATATCGGAGATAGGCCGGGATAATCGGTATTCGCCCCGTTGTATGTATGTAGTGTAGTGGGCAGCCGCAGCCGCGCCCATGCTCTGGTCCCCCGTGGACCCGTGGTTCACTGGTGCCGTCATCGTCGTCCACTTCAATAAGGTGAGCAGCTTTTTGTGACGTGTGGAAAATCGGCGTGGGCGGAGGGTGGATGGGGATGGGGGATGGGAGATGGGCGGAAAGAGTTGTGGCTGACTCGCGAGGTCAGAGGACGACGAAAGCGGCCATATGAAGCACGGCGTGCCACGGCTTGCAGGGGAACCTAAGGGAAAAACAGAATTGTCTTTGCCCGCCGCGCGCCCCCCTCCTCCTCCGCCTCTCCTTTCATTGATGTTCTGGAACAAGGAGGTGACGGAGTGAGGAAAAAAAGGGTCAAAGTTCTGACGCACTTTGTAATGTTCGTCCGTGGTTTCATTCGGCTGAAATGGCGGATAACTCTCCGAACAGCCCCCGGTGTCTCGCGGCCACTCCGCTGCCGGAACTACCACTGCCACTGCCACATCGTGTGGCACGGCGTGGGACTTGGTGGTTCATAGTGAGTTTGTTAGTCATAAAGCATGCATTTGTCAACAGGCAAGGAACACGGATTTGGGCAGTGATGAAAACTGAGTGAAATGGTTTGAAATCTTATCAAAATTTGATGGCCAAATTCTCCTTGGCGGCCGCTCCAAATGAACTATACGCCGGTACGCCTTGCGGAGGAAGTATGATGCCGAACTATCCTAAGCCGAAGTATGTTACACATCATTGGTGTAAGGATTCGGACGGGATGCCGCTCTGAATCGTGCAAAAGACGCGGAAACCAAACAGGAACGCTGTTGTCGCCGCCGTCGCTACCACTGCAGCATTATGAATGCGAGCTGCAAAATCTCGCAAGTAACTGTGTCGAAAAGAACTGATCCATCGCACTGGGCAGAGGTCCAAAGATATGAGGAGGACGTGCGATAGGAAATGAGCCTTGCGCCTCAAGCTGGCCTAACAGCTCTCGGTATGGTGTAATCCATGCTGGATCCGGCCTTGAGGGCTAACTCGTGGCATCTTGCCATATGTGTTATGACTACGCGAGCACCATGGCGTCGTGCAATCTGGATCGGTCTCGGTGTTGTCGATCAGATTATACCCCACGAATGACTTGCGTGCGCTCGCTCTCGAGTTGCGCCGCATTCCGCTCATGTGATTGTTTCTTGCACTGAGCAGTTGAGTTAGCAAATGAGTCCTTCATCTTGCAACACAGTGTCGAGTCCTAATAACCATGAGGATGGTGATCCAGAAGTAGAACTTACGTCTTCCAAGCCGTCGCACTTGTGGTCCTCTAAGAGGCGGTGCTTGCCACAGAAGTGGCCGTTGCAGAATCCACAGTCGCCAACGATGCGTTGGGCAGCATCCTTGCACTCCTTGAAGGTGCAGCGGATCTTCTTCTGAGGCATGATGGGTGGTTGTCAAGGAGGGAAGACGATTTGTTTACGGATGTATCCGTCGGAGAGCGACGTTGGTTGGGTTTGTAGGCTGCGGTGTCGAGAGACGAGGTCGGACTTGATCGCAGACGATGACTCGTTGGGGTCCAGCAGCTTGCGTGGCGAGGCGGGAGGTGTGAAGAGACCGAAGCGGGATGAGGGAGACGTGAAAGAGAGAAGAAGAGAAGAGAAAAAAAGGAAATCAGAGGTGGTGAGTGAGAGTAGAAGTAATAGAAGAAGACTGGAGGCGAATTGTGTCAGTCGGTCAATGATGATCTAATAAGCAGAGAGCAGGACCGGGTCCAGGTCCAGCCAGGCAAGGCGCCAGGTCGAAGGCGGGAGAAGCGCTCACAATGACAACCAAGACAAGACAAGGAACAACAGACGTGGAGCAGGGGACAGGGTGGCTGGTGGAGCTTTGGGTCTGGTCTGGGGAGGGGGGTGGATTATGTTGTTATTTATTGGGAAAATAGACATGCAGGGCACACTTCATCGGAGGCGCCAATGCAGGATTGATTAAAACGGAGACCCAAGCAACGAGGCGAGGCGTTCCCAGGCGGCTTACCTCACCACTTTCAGCCTGTGAGTATGCCACTCTTGGGTGGACTTTGCAACTCCACGGCCGGGAAGAGAGAGCTTGTGGCTGCGGGAGTGAGCGAGAGTTACTCTGAAGTCTTCAGTTTGGACGGTGGGGGGTGTGACCACAACACCACACACACACACCTCAGGGCCCTCGTCGTTCTTACCTCTTCCTCCTCTGCCTCAGCCAGACAAGTGGAAGCACCACCCGCGCTACACTAGATGGACATCTGCTGAGTTGCGCTCCGATGCGCTGCCATGCAATGCACGGCCAGACCATTCTGCGGTCCACGGTGTCCACGGTGTCCCCAGTGCCATCCATGCCACGCAGAGTGCTAAGGTAGCCGTTTCCGTTTGCGCATGCAGAACCCAATAGAACAATGACGAGGGGAGGTATCTGTCCTTGGCCTTGCACGAGATACGGAACTCGAGGTCGTAGCAGAGATGCGGTGTCCGTAAACTTGGGCCAGATGTTGGGCCCCCAGCCAGCCCGGCAGACTATTACTACGTACACCGACGACAACTCGTCAAGTAATGCGTTGGGAAAGGTACTGGCTCCAGTTGCAGCGGCTCCAATTGCAGTGGAAGCGGCGGATATCGGTGCACAGCCATGTGGGTGTGAGAGGTCAAGTGAAAGACCAGAAAATCCAGGGTAAGGGGTATCCGTACAACAAGAAAGAGAGGCTCGACTCACCAGAGTCGAGGTTCCCTGTTCTTTGTTCAGCCGGAACAGTGGGTGTTTCCCTGCTGCGAAGAGAACAGGCAGTGAACAGCGTACGTGTGCGTCCGAGGTACCCAGGTACCATCCGTATAACCGAAGGAAGGTCTTCGTTGGTGGTCAGGACTCAGTACCTAGTGGGTGTAGTCAGCCGTAGGTTGGTAGATCCGATGGGGCGGGGGTCGAGACAACGCTGATGGGGACGATGGAGTCAGGGTCGTGTTCAAGGGTGGGCGAAACGAGAGAGAGAGAGGCGTCGCTCTGGTGGCTTTGAGCCTCGGGATTACTGGATTGGAGAAGGGAGGCTGGCGCCTGACGCTGACGCTGACGCTGATGGCTCGGGGACGGGTACGGTAATGACGCTGGCGCTGGTGCTGGCACTCCAAAAACTGTAACTGGCGGTGTTGATTTGTGTCAAATGGGCACCAGGATAATGCCAATGACACTGGTTGACGGTTTGTGAGGCTCTGAAAGCGGTGAATGTACGTCGGGATGATTAATTATTGTGTAGACTGGATTGCACCGGATCGGACTGTGCCTCGCGCCTCTCGTGTGTCTCTCGTTCCGTCGGGCATTCGTATAAGTCCTGCCTTCGGTGGCTACTTGACCCGAGTCAATGGATCACTCCAGACGGATCAGCCCCGGAACAGTTTAAGATGGCTTGTCGAGATTATCGACCAATGTTGCCAATGCCATGGATGATGGCGTTGGGGACGAAATAATCTGGCGCGGTGGCTGACGAGGGTTCACTGGTGAGACTGAATAGGAACGAGGGTGCTGAAAGTGCGCAAGGTATCCGTATACCAGTAGAGTAAGGTGGTGCCGAGTGCCTCGATTCTCGAGGCAAGGATGCGAAAGGTGATGTACGTCAGCGGTGGTTTGGTGATAGAAGAAATGAGGTGACTTTTGAATGCTAGCGGCAGCAAGACGACGGGATTCGATCCATACGGCCTTGCCAACGACGCAAAACAGACTGCAGGAGGGTGTGATTTGACAAGTTTCCTGGGACTGAGTCAGGTAGATGTAACGCGGTGAAGGCAGATGTGAATACTCCGTACCAAAGTTGAACGGTGCAGAAGTCGAGATGTAGATCGGCCTACCTTCCTGTTAGACTGCTTACCTTAGGTACTCACGCACTACAGCAGATGCTCCGGGCGAGTCAAGAAGGATGTTGCTCAACCACCCTGACTTCCACGATGCATTAGGCAAATAAATTGTGCAATTCACTCGAATGTACGGATACAAGTCGATTGAGTAGGATTTCCGCGGGAATAAAAGGAAGGAAGGAGCTGAGAGGTTTACGAAGAACCAAAAGGAAACTCCCATCAGCGCAGCTGCCGTCTAAATCACAATTGCCAAAGGTACCTGCCTACATTCCTAAGGTGCGTAGGTACCTGCGCTCGCCCTACCTATCTAAACCAGGGCATCGACTCGATCTACCATTCCACACTTCTAATGCCAACATATCGTACGGATATATACTTCAACCTCCAAGATACACTTCTCGCCGTTGCATCGGGACCGATCACCGACCTTCCGTCTACCGATGCATCGCTCACCTCGCCCCTCCCGCCAGTTCCTCGGACTGTCTAAGGATTGCTGATGAACGGGTACCGAGGCCATGTGCCGCAAAACTCAGCAGCCTGGTCTGCCTTTCAATATGTCCAAGTCAAGCAGGCCAATCCTTCTCATCTCGAACAATTGTCAATGAAAGACAGGCTTAGGTGGTTTGCTCTGCTGCTCCAGCAATACATGGCATTGCATGTCACGGCATGGCAATAGTCACTAGCGGCAGCATGGCCTCATGGATCATGGTTTGTGCTGGAGCCCGAGCTGCAGGAGACATCCCAGTTCGCTCTGCACCAGTTCGTAACCTAGGACCGAGATGGCTGGCGAGAAATGGATGGCCGACTGACTTGCTACTGCCTTCCAATCGCATCGCAGCCGCTTGTCACAAGCCATCATCGTCGCTGGCCTTTGTTCGCTCTCGCCAACGGCATCTCCCGCATGAGGTACCGAAAGACTGCCGCAACGTTCCGAGACTGATAGATTAGCAGCAGACAGTTTCCTCGATGCTGCTTCGATACTCAGTCAAGCCAGTGAAGCTCGTCTCGGCCGCTGGAAATTCGTTTGAACCTGCACCTTTCAGTCGTCCCACCCGCTCTAACACTGGCTCAACGTTGATGAATGACGTGCAAACGAGGCACTGCTAGATTCAAGATGAGCCATGGTAAAGTTATCTTAATCAAAGGACAAGCATCCTATCATCCCTTACCGGCCCGAAGTCATTGCTCTGGACAGTTGCAAGGAATAACCTCGCCTCTACTTTCTCCCAAGAGGACCGCCCTCAAGCGTCTCGGGGCTTCCGCACCGCACGCAATGACCTTCTGGGGGGCATTATTCGGTTCCGAACCCAAAAGATGCCAGTGCTGCGACTTCTAGTACCTTAGCTTATTCCGTGACATCAACTTCCCGAGTTCTCCGCGTGGACATGCAACGGCCATCACCAGTTGAGAAATGGTGGAACAGCAAGTGAGAAGGCTACACGGCTGGGCCGAGCGGTGCGGCCAACTCAGACGGAGCAAAGATTCTGTACTTTTTCGCAAGGACTCGGCTCCGGAGATGCACGGCTGGCTGTCCAACAAGTTACGACAACATGTTTCTGCATGCCGAACCGCACCTTGTCTTTGGCTGGCCTGATCTTCCACAGTCACAAGCTGAGTTCTGACAGGTGGAGGGAAAGGTGCCCTGCAATGTGTAGCAGATGCGGCACCGAAGGTTAGGTATAGGTCGCCCCAAGCAGTGCCGCCCAGCCTAGCGCCGTGCAACCCGACCTCCTCCCGTATTGGAGCTGGCTTCCTGCAGCCACTGCATCCAAGCGCTTGGAAGCGGCGCCATTGGCTCTTAGCATGTCCTCCAGGAGGACGATCTTTGATGCAGCGAACTGGCCGAGATATCACGGGAAAGGTGTATATCTGGGACAAATTGCCTGCCCGTCGACAAACGCAGCTCAACGCTGTCCGTTCTCGTTCGTTATACCCTCATACCGAACACGGGATATCCACGGCCATAATCTCGTGTCCGGTATTGTTCTGGAAGAGGGGATGAATCGAAGGATACGAATACCCCGACAAGACGATCCTTGCGCTCCAGTTGTCGACCTACCCCATGTCTGGCTTGTCTTATCTTATCATCCCTGAGGGGGAATTGCATCCTGAGGTGGCCTCGCCTGTTCACGAGACCAGCCAACCTCGCATCGTCGAGTAATAACCGCCTACTTCGCAGAGTGATCGAGGGTCCGAGACCGCCTTGCATTTCGAGCCAGCAAGCCCGCGCCCAACCATTTGAGGCCCGCCCGCCGATGGATCGCTGGAGCAATCGTTGGATCTTGAATCCTACGGTTCGGATGGGAATGGAGAGCACATGTGGGTTGGCAAAAGCCAACTCAAGATCTCTGGCTTACCGCCGTCGGTGTCATTTCTCGCATTCCGCAAAACCCTCGGGAGTGAAACGCCGGGTGCCTTTAGACATGTGTCAAAAATGTGAGTTACACAATCCTTTGCTCAGCATCCGATTGAGGGAATCCTCATTTATGGAGCAGTCCTATGTTTATTTACAGCGCCTCCTATCACCTTCTACGGGGACATTCTTCCCTCTCCAACTTGTCTTCTGGGTTGTCCCCCAACAGTGTTAGTCGATGCTACGCCGGACGTCGAGATTGCCAGTCTAGCCTTGATTGCCCATCAAAATTAGCCATCAATGCACTCGGATCTTGATTTACAATGGGGGGAACCCCTACTGTTCTCGGCCTCCCCCAGTCACAACTACCTCCTAAAATTACGAGCCAAACGGTGAACCGGACGGTTTTGATGTTGTTTCCCGTGCGATTCCCCACGGTTCATTCTATTTACCACCCCTGGCTCGCTCTGTCAAAAAATCGTCCGATTCCCCAGTCCCACTCCTCCTCAACCAATATAACTACTTGGGGTCTGTGGCTTGACATCCGTCTCACCCCCAAAGAAGCAATCCACGGAGGTGAGGCAACAGTGGACAGCAGGCATGCCACCGGTTGATGAGAAATGAGCAAGTATATCGGCACCACGGCTTGACAACGGTCCAGCTAGGCCTTCAGTCAAACAACCAAATAGCAGCCTCAGCAGTGCCCGCACATTTCCGAGACATGTGGCGCGGACAATCTTGCTCAAAGACGTCCGGACAATGAATAATGCGGCCCTTTCAGATAACGTGTAATTAATAGTTGGGATGTAGTACAACCGCAAGCTGGGCGGGAGCAAGAGGCCTCATATTCATGAGAGAGAATAGATGTCTCGGCCGGATCTATGGGATAATCATTGAGACAAAGACGTATTCGTACATGTATTGTGATTCAATGGTGTTTGATGGGGTATGCCGCAGCCTGCCACAAACCTGTTGTTTAGGATCATCTGTCCACCACCCTGTGGTAACAAGATGAAGGCGATTGGAGGAACAGCTACGGTGATTTGGCTTGAAACGGCTCGAACTATCCAGGATACCTGAATCTTCTCTCCAAAGCGGCGAGATAAGCTTCCGTGGTGGACAGCGTGCATCTAGCTTGCTCTTTGGGCCTTTGCCAACAGAACCTGCTGGGTGATGGATCAAACCCGCTTTATCAATCATCCATCAACTCAGGCCACAGCCATACTCTCATCCGATAATTACAGGAATCCTGCGATCCCGGTAGCTAGTGCTGATTCCAGCTACAGTTGAGGTAACCCCAGATCTATTCCGTACAAGCATAGAGGTGGAAGATATGCCCGCCCCCCGCTCTGGACCGGGACTTTGAGACTACCTACGATCGGGGCCGCGCGCCGCCGGATGTCACCGTCGTTGGACCCCGGAATTGTACCAGTGGATGATCTAGAATCTCAATGGAAACAACCAAGGGAAGGGTACACACGAATACAAGTCACGAGAGGTTATCAGCGAATGAGAATATGGAATCTTGACGACATGATGTGAGCAATTTGCTATCGACATATATCGCGACGTTACGCGTACGGACAGGCTGAGCGGTTCCACCTCGTCGCCGACGACCCGGGACCAGACCATCATCACAAGCCCGCCCACCTGGCTTCACAGTTTGGATTCGCGAGGCGGTACTGGGATATCGATTTCACTTTTTTTGTATTAAACTATCAGTATTTTTTGTATTTCAGAAGACGCACCGAGACGGTCGTGCAACCAGAAGCCCGTGGTATATTGTGTTAAGCTTACTTGCGCATGTCGACCACGGCTCTGATGCAGTCGCCTTGCTTCATGGTCTCGAAGGCGTTGTTCATCTCGCCCAGGGTCTTCCTGTGGGTGATGAACTCGTCCACCTTGAGGTCGCCCTTGATGTAGTCCTGCACGAGACCGGGCAGCTGAGAGCGGCCCTTGACACCGCCGAACGCGCAACCCTTCCAGACACGACCGGTGACGAGCTGGAACGCTGTTTTTGGAACGTGGTCAGTTTGTGTTACCATATGAAAGCTAGGATGTATAAGGGGTACTTACGACGGGTGGCAATCTCCTGACCAGCAGCAGCGACACCAATGATGATGCTCTGTCCCCATCCCTTGTGGCAAGCCTCGAGAGCAGCACGCATGACGCTGACGTTACCAGTGCAGTCGAAAGTGAAGTCGCAGCCGCCGTCGGTGAGCTCAATGAGCTTGTCAACCACGGACTGGTCTCCGAGCTGGGTGGGGTTGACGAAATCCGTCGCGCCGAACTTTCTCGACCACTCCTCCTTGTTGGGGTTAACGTCGACGACGATAATCTTGCCAGCCTTGTTCACGACGGCACCCTGAACGACGGAGAGACCGACGCAGCCGGCACCGAAGACGGCAACATTGTCGCCCTCCTGGACGTTGGCGGTAATTCTGGCGGCGCCGTATCCGGTGGTGATACCGCAGCCCAACAAGCAAGTACGGTCCATGGGAGCATCCTGCTGGACGGCAACGACTGAGATGTCGGCAACGACGGTGAACTGAGAGAAGGTGGAGGTGCCCATGAAGTGAAGCAGGTCCTTGCCCTTGCACTTAAAGCGCGAGGTGCCGTCGGGCATGACGCCCTTACCCTGGGTGGCACGGATCTTGCCGCAGAGGTTGGTCTTGCCTGACTTGCAGAACTTGCACTCCTGGCACTCTGGTGTGTAGAGGGCGACGACGTGGTCGCCAACCTTTACGTTTGTGACGCCCTCGCCGACGGACTCGACGATACCGGCGCCCTCATGACCAAGGACGATGGGGAAGGCTCCCTCGGGGTCCTTACCAGAGAGAGTGTAGGCATCTGTTCCGAGGAAAGTGCGTGTCAGTCGTCTAGTTTTCTGGTGTTCTAGGGGCCTTCGGATCTTCATCCGAGACCTCAGGCGGGGGTTGTAATATACCTGTGTGGCAGACACCGGTGTGGTAGATTTCGATACGGACCTCGTGGGCCTTGGGCGGGGCAACTTCGATGTCCTCGATGCTCAAGGGCTGGCCGGCCTCCCAGGCGACAGCGGCCTTGCAAGTAATGGTCTATAGATGATCGATTGGGTCAGCGAATGGGTTCGGGTTGTCAAAATGGCTCCCGTCTCAGTCGTCTCCGTGGTCGTCGAGCTACCCCGCAATGGATGGGAGAAAATCGCAGAGCAGGGAATACAGATGTAATGTATAGTGCTTGGAGTGGGAACTGAGCATACCTTTCCTGCAGTGGAAGACATGTTGTGTGATGATGGTCGATGAGAACCTTGATGGAAGGAGGAAATCGGCACACTAAGCTTAGCTTATAACTGGGCAGGGTACGAGTATTTATTCCAAGGAGGTTGGAAGAAGGAGCTGGCAGCTGGAAGTCCAAGATGCAGGTTGGGCACTGGCAGAGGGGGAGAGAACTGCCGCCGGGTGTCTTTTGGCACCATCTCCAAACCCCACCTTCCCCTCGGGAGGGGAAAGTATCCGTGAGTCTCGGGGGTTCGGGGACTGAGACTTGAGTTAGGTACCTCTCTTTCTCTGAGTGCGTATCTCCATCTGGGGACTGGAGTGCACTTCTCTCTTTACTCGACCACGAATTGAAAAAAGCGGAGAAGTTCAGCTTGTCATTGACTAAGTACTCAAACAAGTAGAGGATAAAACACTACTGACGCCAGCCGTGACTTGTACGAGTCTTGGGTGAGGCGGATGGAAGGGCATTCCCAAACAGCAACACTGGAGTACGTCATTGGACCGATTGAGGTTCTGGGGATGAATTCTGTTGTCTGGTTGGCTGGAACTCTATTGCAAGTCTTCCTTATGTTGTCCCAATTGGCTGCCTGTTATTAGGTACTGAGGTAGGTACATGGTATGGTGGCAGTAAGATAATAGAAATCGAGACCAACGGATGCCTTTCCGACGCACACCAAGATGGAGAAACCGTAGTGACTGCTTTCCTTCCCGAGAACGAAGGCCGAATCACGGCTTGTACGGGCACTCAGCCGGGGGTGGCGGGGCGGACTGTGATACGTATCTGGGACTTCTAAGCGCTTCCACCTCACCAAAGAAAAAAACTGCCCTTTTTGAGACGTTTCCGCCTCCTCCTCTCTTCCGGCGCGCCTTCGGGCTTGCAGCCTATCATTGTTTGAAGACGCAATACAGCAAAAGTTTAAGCCGTCGGGGTTAGGCTTTTGAGATGCTATTAATGCACACTTTTGCAGGCATAGTCCATCGGCGATTGAATCTGGCCAAGCCTGCCCGCCCGCCTTCTGAGGGATGACTTTCCGTGGTTGCCAAGATGGCGCTGAGGAGTACAGCGCTTTTCTTGGGGCCCGCACGTCCAGAGCCCGATTTATGTCCGGGCCTGGAGGTTTCAAGCAGTTTTCTTTTACTGCCTTTGGCAGCTCTACCCTATCTAATCGGCGTGCTGGGCTAGAACGCCGTAACACGGAGGAAGACGAGGGGAGCTCCGGGACGGCTTAGATAAGATAAAAAGAACCCCAGTTGCCCGCGGGTAGGGACTCGACGAAGGGAGATACAAGTCAGAAAGAATGGATGAACAATCCTCTCAGGTAAAAGATAATCAAAGGGTCCATTGGAAAGAAAGTATGGGAAGAGGTGGAAGATCAGGTTGACAACCAAAAGAGGGGGAACCGCTTGGTTTCAATGGTGTGTGTTTACCCCGGAAAAAGAGACATCACAATGGCATCACAGTCGCATGGCTGTGGAGGAGACGTCTGAACCTTAAAGAATTATTCTCCAACAAGGTGACAAAGAATTCATGTTTGGATGCTGCCTCAGAAGTCTGAACACCGGGAAGCTTCATCAGAATCTAGGTGGGTAGGTTGGTTCTTCTCAAAGGTACGAAGTACATACAAACACCTCGAAGACCCGGGCCGTTGGTGTGTCAGCGGCACCGGGCCAGGGAGCTCGGGCCACTCCAAAAACCGCAGAGCGAGTGGGTGGTGGGGCCAATACGTCGGCTTCTTCCGCGTTGACTGGCCAAGCATCGCGAACCTCCAAAAATTATCGAGGAAAAGCGCGTCCAGCCAAACACCACAACCAAGCTCTTCAGCCTTGTCGCCTGCGACCTGCCAGTTAGCCCAATTAGCCTCGACGACTTTCACGTACCCAACGAGAGCTACACATCCCAATTTTGCACTACCAAATATCTGATAACATCGCTCCCGCCGATCAACACAACTTTGCGACAACTAGCCTCATCCGGGTGACCTGAGGTCGCCCACTCCATCACCGACATCATGCCCAACAAGTTCTCCTTCGACGACTCAGCCTTTGATAGCTCACCGCCGTCAACGCCCGGTCAGACTCCGCAGAAGAAGTCATACTATCCCTTCGGCGAAAACCCGTCAACGACGCCAGCCGGCCCTCCACCCTCGTCAGCTGCTTCATTCACACCCCAGGGTGCTCCCTCCGAGTCCTACCTCGGAAGCTCCTTGTTGCAAGGCGTCACTGCTCAGAAGCCCTTTGGTTTCGGCGGTGCAAGTTCAAATGGGCCCAGTAAGAACCTCTTTGGCAGAAGCGACTCTGCTTCAGCGCAACCACTCGGCCGGTCGATTCTGCAGAGCGCCAAACCTACGACGAGACAGCCGTCGGCACTGAGCCGGGAACTTGGCGCGGGAAAGAGCGAGGTCACCTACGATAACCGGAATGGCAGGTATATGATACCCGACAGCTCGGAGGAGGAGGAAGAGGACGAGGATGATGAGGAGTACGACGAGCGCGACGCCGCCGATGCGGAGATGGAGCGATACCTCGAAGCCGATATTGGGGATGAAGACGGGGACGCTGAGGCAGATGACGAAGAGGTCCAGGATGACGACGACATATTTTTGAACATGCGGCACAGCACCCGTAACGACGATGGACTGGCCTACTCAGACGAGGGCGAAGGTGGCATAGGCGGCGAGGAGTCGGACCTTTTACTGCTCAATACGCCAGCGGCAACGGAGCGAATGCGCAGGGAAGCCCAGGATATCTTCCGTGCCTCATCCATGCGTCGCTCGTCGGGCAACAGGCGGACAGAATTCAAGTTCTCCGCAATCGCAAAGGATCTATACAAGGAATTGGGCATGGCTCAGATCAACGAGTCGTCAGGCGTTGTCTTGAAGACGGAAGACTTGATCAACCAGCTTTACAACGAAGGAATTGGTGCTCAGGAGGACCCCGATCAGCTCGATGTCTCCCTCGCCAACATTGTCTATCCTCTGGTGGACCTTTGGAATGACTTTGCCGACAGTTTACCCATGCCGGAGGGAGAGCACATTGCCGAGATTGGTCCCGGTCCCGAAAGCGAGCCGTTCACGAAGGCTGCCTATGTTGCCCAGCTGGTTCTTCAGATGCATCACACTCGTTTCGCTAACCAAGGCACCGTCGATACCGAAGCGCCGCCACTGCCTTACGTTCTATTCCGATGGATCGAGGAAAACCACAACATCTATCCCGAGCAGTTCGAGATCGTCATGAACCATAGGCCGAGTCCAGCTTGCCACAGCCTCTTCTGGCCGACACTTCGCAGCGCTCTCATCCGTGGCAATGTCGATCTTGCATCAAAGCTATTGCGGAATGCTGGTTGGGAGTCCGTCAAGAAAGGACCCAGAGCCGATTTTGCTTACTCCGGCAAAGCTCTCGATAACCTGCAACGTGCTGTCGGCATTGCGTGCGAGGCACTCGACATGTGCCCAATCACCAAGGGCAACTGGGATATCTTCAGCAGCGATTGGACGCTGTACCGCATCCAGACGAAGGGCTCCTTGGACAAGCTTCAGCGATTTGCGGAGGGCAAGGACAAGAACCTCTTCGCTGGCGATAGTGACGACAGCTCGTACGGAAGAGGCTCTTTGGCCGGTCTTGTGCGGAAAGCGGAGGGCCAGGTTCCATGGGACATCTACGAACATCTCCAGACCATCTACCAGATCATCATGGGAACGCCAGAGGCTATCCTGGATACAGCACAGGACTGGTGTGAAGCCACGATTGGTCTCTTTGGATGGTGGGAGGAAGGCAGAGGACAGCAGAAGAGCCTGCGCATGTCTCGCTCTCACGGCCTCCGCATGACAGCTACGCCTTCTACCCCGGAGACCTATTTTGAACGCCTGTCGCTGGCTTTCCACACGGCGGTCGAGTCGGATTTCCACTTCAACTCCATGAACCCTGTTGAAGTTGCTATCGCTTCTGCTTTCGAGTCAAACTTCGCGGCTGTCATCGGAATCCTTCGCGCATGGTCACTTCCTATTGCTTCTGCAGTGGCAGAACTTGCCTCGCTTGGTCAGTGGCTACCTAAGCCCGAGCAACCTAACTTGATCACGATGGAGAGTCTGGACATGGAGGATCTGGAGATGTTGGGAGTGGCTCCTCAGACTGCCGATGATGTGGAGGGCATCAAAGACACTACGCTTACACATTACGCGCGCGAACTGGCCGGAATAGAGAGTCTTTCGGAAGATCGCAGCGGTTGGGAGATGGCGATACAGGTCCTTGGTCGCATGGATTCGGCTGCGAAGTCAGAGGATATGGTCGGAGAATTGCTTCGGGATATCCTAGACCAGCTCGATTCTGAACAAGGAGCCACTGTGGATAAGGTCTGGAGGATTCTGAACGATCTCGGCATGATTTCCTATGCCGAAGAGACCGCAGAGGTATGTGCAGATCGCATCGAACTGTGCAAATCATCAAGCTAACCGTTTCTAGACCTACGCAGATATTCTCGGCAAAGACTCCCACAGATACGGAGAGGCTCTTTGGTACTACGCTCTGGCTCATAGACCCGGAAAGGTCCGCGAGGTGCTCAACCTCCTTATGTCGTACTCTTTGCTCCACTCCACGGTCTACCCCCCAGCCAACGATCTGGACGACCACCTCTACCGACTTCTGAACGAGCGCAGTCAAACGCTCGAAAAGTATGCCAAACAAGATCTCGAGGCAGCGAATCTCCTCGGGCGGATGCTGAGTGGTTACGCCACGCTCCGGAAATTCTACGAACTTCGTGACACTGATGGACTTGCCGATATGTCACCTTACAAGTCTGCCACTCTCCGGAAGCAAGCCGCCTCCGCCCTTGTTGCAGTCATCGCTAGCTCAGATGACAATATTCGGGGAGGCCTTTACGACGAAACCCGCGACGCAGTTGTCAGTGAGGACTTCATTCTCGCTCTGTTGGGCGAGGCTTTGCCCTTCGTCAACCAAAACCCTTCGGTCATCACGCTCGACCAGATGGACACGCTCCTCAAGGCCGTTGAGGATATCCAGACAGTCAACTCCACTATCTTCAATGCAGCAGACGAGTTCTTCAAGCTCGTTCTGGCCTCGACGCCGGGCATGAAAGGTTCAACGCCTGCAGACTTGATGCGCAAGAGTACCAGCTCGCTTAGCGGAAGCTACATGCTCAGCGGAAGCTCCATGTTAGCCAGCCAGCTTCACCGGTCCATCAGCGGTGGCAGCGGCAGTGGTTCTACTCTCGCCAAGACGAAGCGTGGTTGGGACTGGAGATCGGGACTCACGGCTGGTGCGTCAGCCGACGACGTGCTTCGTATACTTCGATTGGGTCTGTCGAGGGACCTGGCCACCTTGTGGCTGGCCGACGCGGACAATACGCCCGTGTACTAGGATCGCATTGGACGTGTCGCGGGTGTCAAGCGCAAGCGCGAGTGGACTTTGCCTCACCGGTAGTAGTTGTCCTCAGTTAGGCGCAGGATGACATTTGGGAGTGGAATTAGGATGGAGTTTGATGATGACGTTGTAAATGGAAAGGCACCCAAGAAAGTTTCAGATGTATAATACCATTGGTTCACCTGAGAAGTTGTCGACTTCTCTTTGATGACGGGGGTGTCCCGCGTTGTTGGGTTGTTTAATTCGAGATTACACTTTGTACAGCGGCTAGGGCGTGCCAAGTAGCGCCATGAGAACCATGCAGCAGGATGAGCCTTGTCAAATTGGCTTGAGCCAAATCGTAGTTCATGATCTTGCCAACGTCATAGAGGCTCAACAGTCATTCGATGTTGTCGAGGCCAAGGGGAAAACTTCATGCCTGAGGGCAAACACAGTACAAACACCGTACGTAACACGACCACTGACTGTGACAGCGATTTACCGACGACACGCAAATAAGAAACTACCAACTGAACACTGTTCAGCAAGCCAAATTCCTCTACACTTCACGTGGCGGCCATGATACTTCGCCGGAACTCATTTATTTGCTCTGTTTCTCAATGCATGCAGCCGGCCACTTTCCATTGTGAAACGCTGCCAATCCGGTAAAGATGCACATCTTGTCAACGGTGGCCCGATCCGTCACGTCACGAAGCCTAGCACGCGTCGAACAGGTATGCTGGTTCGATTCTAAGCCACTGAGGAACCTCCAAGCACGTAAAAACGGAACAGTTACTGAAATTCTCACCAGATTCAATCAAACCATGGATCGTATGTCCGGTTCTTCACGTGCTCCTGCTCCTTGTGTGGGGCAGAGGCGCCTCGTACATCAGAAGATAGCATGCACCACTCCCGCTTGACGCTGCCTGGCAGTGGCCCCGTCATCGTCGAGCACAGTAAGGGAGGAGCTAACCAAGCTGGAGCCTCTGACTCTCAGGCGGTATCTCTTCAGCCACCGGAAAGACCAAAGGCCCCGTCAGCCTGGGGCTCCTTTGGTAGCAAGATCGCCAAAGCCCGGCCAATCCCAAAGGTCGTCAAGAAGGGCCCCGCGTCCACAGGAGGCAAAGCGCGCGCTTCTGGATCGGTATCATCATTATCAAATACGACAACAACAGCATCGTCAACGCGAAAGGCCAAGAGCGCGAAACAGAACCCCTCACCACCGGCATCGGCGCAATGGGGCGCCTTTCACGCGCTACAAGTCCAAGGCCCCGCGCCGAACCCGAACCCGCTACCCAAGCCGAAGTTGCTGTCGAGACCGAGGGCTGGCGCACCGGCGCCACGTTGGAAGCGCAACTCGCTTACTGCGCAGGCGAGGGCTGGGAAATGGGGCGGGTTTCATCAGGAGCAGGGTGCGCCGGCTTCTGGGCACGTTAACGACGAGGGGCTGGTCGTGCACGGTGGACATTGGTCGAACGTCGACTCTGTCGTTGAGGGAAATCTGGAGCTGAGTCTGGAGACTTCTTTGTCAAAGGATGTTGGCGACAATTCAGAGGAGGTGGGGGCAAAAGAAGTGCCATCCGAGGTTTTAACAGAACAAACTGTCTTGTCAAACCCACAACATCGACAGAACGCGGCGTCTGTATTAACCAGCAAACGGGGAAAAGCAAGGGCCAGAGCGGTTCCTAGAACCAGATCTTGGAGAAAGGGCCCCAAGAGCGCCGTGGGATCGGGAACTGGGAGCTGGGGAAACTTTTTCGAAGATATCGAGAGGAGCGATCCTGAAATCGCCAGGATGACAGGCAGCAAAGAGGAAGCAGATGCTCCGGCGCCGTCCCGTAGCATCGCTGACGATACCGCTTCATCATCCTCTTACGTTTCTTCTGAGCGGGACGCTACGGACGGTACTAATGTACACCCCGAGCCAACACCTAAATTTTATGAGGAAATTCTGCCTCTGACCTCAAGGCCCCACGAACCCAATGCCTCAAAAGCCGAAGATACCCCAGCTGCCGCCCCCCGCGCAGGACCCGAATTCATTACCCAGGCAGAGGCCGCCGCCCTCATCGATAGACTCTCGCACCAGAGGCGTAAGAGGAGGGTCCCGGTTAGGAATGGACCCGGGCCCAGCCCTAGCGAAGCAGAGTCCGCAGACTCATCAACGCAACTACATCCACACCAACACCAGCCAGCGGTTCAAGAGGATATGACGATAATATCCAGAGAGCAAGCGCTATCTGTCCTGCTCCAGGAGCCTTTGAGAACGGTGCCTCGAGACGTCAATGAGCAGAAGTATTCTGCCATTAAGGAAGGGCAAACATGCCATTCAGACATCGTTTGCGCAGAGCAACGTCTCGCACAAGAGCGCTACACAATGCAACGTCTCACAGAACAACGTCGTATCAAGGAGGATGTGAGAGAGCGTAGCGGAATAGACTGGTACCCAGAAGGACGCCGCGTAAAAAAACGTCGCGCAGAGGAACGCCGCATAAAAGAGCAAGAACGCCGCACAGAAGAGCGTCGTATAAGAAAACTTCGCAGTGCAGAAAGGCGTGTGGAAGAACTCCACGAAGAAGAACGTCGCGCTCACGAAAAAGCACGTCAGGCAAGTGAACGTCGCGCTGCAGAATTTCGCGTGCTAGAACGACGTATAAAAGAACTTCGCGAAGGAGGGCTTGGCCCCAAAGAACGTCTCAAGAAAAAATATGCTAATTTCCAGGCAATGCAACAAAGTCGCCCTACTAATATAGCCAAGGAAGCCTTACGGGATTTTGATGATATCCTAAAAGAACTGTCTACGGAGACAGTTGAATACCATCACGAAGTGAAATACATCCGGAATTGGCTCTACTGGCTGAGAGGACTTATTTCATATCCGGATGAAGGCCATAAGGTACAAGGGTTTTGTGACCTCTGTGAGCGGGAGACTCATAAAATCACAAGACACCATGTCATTCCGAGAAGTCAACGTGATCGCGACCGATTCACTATTGAAGAGATGAACGAGTTGCTGGAACTTTGCCTTCCCTGCCACATAAATTTACACAGAGCCATTCCAAACGAAAAGCTTGCTGTGGAATTCAACTCTTTGGCGCGGATTATGACACATCCTCGTATTCAATCCTGGTTGATATTCGCGAAAGCACATTCTATCAGGGACCTCCACGGTCTGATGAGACTACCAGATTCAGATGGCATACTTGAGCTGTAAGTGCTTGGGACACTGGGTGTTGTATCCATGAGGGGGTGCAATATATTGGAGGCGTCCTCCCCATGGACACAACACGCACCCCATTCCGGAATTTGAGAAGGATAGCTGATTAACTCTGACCTCTAGGGAAGAGGATGAGCACCGACTCCATTTGCTCAGTGTTGAGAAACACGCCGCCCAGTTCGCAAGCCGGAGGCGCCAGGACATTGTTGCTCTGCGCAACTTCCTGAAGCTTCGTATTCCCTATCCCGTTAAAAGAAGCGAACTAAGACATGTGCTCACGAATCAAAAAGAAGGAGAAAGCTGGAAAGGTCCTTTGCTCGAAAAGCTTTTCAACGACCGCTACGACCGCCGTGATATAGTTACCGAGGAAGGCTCTAAACGACGCAGAAGACGACACAGGCGAGTCGGCTCATCAAGTGAAGTCTGATCAGCAATTGAAGCTCCGTTCAACTCCGCTGGTCTCCTCTTGGCTCAGCTTAGGTACAAGATCCCTGGATTTCTACCTACTTGCAGACACGCTCCCGTCGCCTAGTATCAAGGGCGGCCTTATATCTACAGCCAATCGACTTTAAATTATCCATGCCATTTGAGTCTGGAGTTTCACATTGCTTTTGGTGCCCGTAGTTCTTCTGAGAGTTAGAATTCGTGTCCGTCTCTGGTGTTGTGTTTCTGAATGTGCTTCCAGTGAAGAAGGGATCTGGAGAGCAGACAGCAGTGTTCCATCAAACTGTTGATACTGACGGCTTCAGCAAAAGAAGCAAAACAAAGTAGACATACAACACCAGGTATTCGCTGGTCGTCACCGACCCAACTACTAATCCGGCCCTCATTAGCTTGTCTATGGGAGAGCAGACGGGATCCCGAATTTTCCAATGGGTATGGTCGTATGTGGTTGAACGTACTCGGAAGGGGGTCTAGGAAGGCCGGGAGGTCGAGTGTCAGCCGACTGCCTGCTTCACTTCAAGAACGACATAATTTCGCAGGCACCAAGTGCTACAGAAAGAAAGGGAGCCTTGGAAAGACTACATGAGTATTCTGTGACCCTGGTGACTATGGTGGTGTGGGAACAGTCATGCGGTCCAGACGAGGCAACTGAGGCTGCGCATGTGACTGAGCTCTACCAAACCACCCTGAACCACAACCTCGCCATCCGCCACTTCCAACCGCTATTGACAAGAGCAATTATACCAACATCACTCGTGATATAATGAGTTATTTTTCTTTCTTCCAACTAAGTCATGACAGACCAAAAGAAATTTCCCTACCCCGGAAGCATCAGATACCAACCAAGAATCGAAACACCCACTCCGCAGCAACACCCGCGTCGTCCTCCCTCCTCGTCGCGTCAAACGCCCGCTGCAGGAACTCTGGCGAGAACCCCTTGGCGGGCGTGTAAAAGTGCTTGATGGTCTCTTCCATGATGACCTGGTCGCACTCGAAATGGGGCTGGATCGTGAGGACGCGAGAGGGTTCGTACAGGCCCTGGACCCTGCAGTGCGCGCTGCCACCAATGTTTTGCCAGGTGCCCGGGAGAGGTGGGTTAGGTGGCGGGGCGAGGGCGACGTGGTCGCCGTGGCACATTTGTAGCCGGAGACCGTGAGGGGGTGGTGATGAAGGGGAGTCTGAGTCCTGGTTTGAGTCTGTTGTCGTTGTAGCCGAGGCGAGGGCGGCTAGGCAGGGGAAGTCCTCTACGAGTTTCGGGTTCAACGAGATGGTCTGGACGCCAAACTCGTAGCCGTTGGGGTCCTTTTCCACGACGGCGCCGTGGGGCTCGAGGAGGACTTTGCCGATGAGCTGGTGGCCAAAGCAGGTGCCAAAGATGCGGACGTCCGGGTGTTGCTCGTAGACACGCCGGATAAAGTCACCTAGGCGGAGGACCCAGGGGTCCGTGTCGTAGGCGGCGGCGATGGAGCCCGTGATGAGGATGGCGTCGACGTCGGCCGGGTTCGGGTAGTGGCCTGCGACGACGTCCCAGGTCGTGAAGGTGGCGAGGTGGGAGGCTGCGATGCGGGCGGCGGCGGCGGTGAGGCGTTTGATATATTGGTCGCTGTAGTATTGCCCGTAGAGGGTTTGGACGGCTGTGACCATTACATCGGAGTCTAGGATGGCGACGTGTTTGACTTTTTCTCCTCCTCTAGGGGTTGCCTCTTGTCCTGTGCCGGATGGCATTGCGCCTCCGGATCCTGTTTTTGGGTGTAAGTCTAGGAGCGATGCGGTGGAGGATGGAGGGCTGACCTTGCAAGTCTTCTTCTCTCATTTTGGGTGATAAACGTCTTTCTGTCTTACTTGGACTTGACCTACTACAGAACGAGCAAACACAACCACCTTCAATCTAAGTTGCACGTAAAAAGAGCCATATGTGATTTGTTAGCCGTTGTGAATGAAGTCGTGAAGTCTCGGTACCTGCTCCGAGTCAGATCTTCGGAGGAGATTTGTCACGGGATCCACGTTTCGGGCGTCAACGCCGGCGTCGGCCTCCGTGCCGAACTTTTGCTGTGGTCCACTGGTGGCTGGTCTAGGAATCACTCGCGTGCGCACGATATGAACTATGAGAAGATTTCAATGAAAAGTTGAATAGTATTTATGAGGGGAGAATATTGTGAGACTATCGCGTTGTTTTTTAGGCTTTTATCGACTACTTACTTTCGTGCATCAACCACGTGTTGGATTCAAGTTGAGCGGCTTGCTTCTCAATATTTGTACCCTGACTTCTTCAAAATCGTATCCAAAAGCACATGATTCTTCAAAGCCGTCTCAAAGTCCGCATACCGCGAAGTATCGCCTTTGGCGAAAGCATCAAAGATGAGGACCGTATTCAGTCCCGCGGCTGAAACCTCGACTCCGCCAGGGAGCTTGCCGGTCTCGAGGGTGACCTTTTGTTCTTCTCCTCCAACTAACTTGTACACGAGCTGCTTGCGGGGGCTGTGAATCTGCCACTGGCCTCCGTCCCAGACGGCCTCGATTTCCCCCTTGGTGCCGCTGATGATCCAGCGAGCGCCGACCTCACCGACCGTGACCGGGGTGGTTCGACAGGCAATCGAGGCCAGTGCTCCGTTTTGCAGCAGGCCTTGGACCAAGATGTGATCGGGAGAGGACTTTGGGTACGCTGGGTCGATCACGTTGCTTCTGTCGGCTTTGTATAGGGGGACGGAGTCGACGTCGCTCTTTAGGACTGACGACAGGCTGCTGAGATCGAAGTCGCCGACAACGTTTGTGAACGAGTCCAAGACTGTGTTTCAAGAACATTAGCCTTCGGGGTTTCCAACTTCGTCAGAATCTCCCAACAGAGATGGAGTGACTTACAATGCCCAAAGCCGATGTGGAATGCGTTTCCTCCAGTTTTGATATCGAGGTAGTACTCCGCGCCCTCAACCCAGAAGTTGGGAGGAAAGTACGGGAGAGTGCCGACGACAGAAGTGTGCTTGATCTCACCAATCTCCCCACTCTGAACAATCTCTCTCAGCTTGAGAGTGAGAGCGTCAGAGCGACCCTGGAGACCAACAATGGTCTTGAGTCCGCCTGACTTGGCCAGCTGCGTGAGCTGTTCCGCCTCCTGCGCCGAGGCGCCGAGGGGCCACTCGACAAAGACCTGCTTCTTGTTGGCGAGCGCGGGGAGCGTGACTGCGAGGTGCTTGGTCACGACGACGCTGACGACGACGAGGTCGACGTCCGGGTCGCTGGCCAGCTGCTCGACGTCGCCGTAGGCTTTGGTCGTGCTCGGGAGCTTGTGCATCTCAATAGAGCGGCGGGCCGCTTCCGCGGACGAGTTGCAGAGGGCGACGATCTCGTAGTGTGGCGAGTTCTTGAAGGAGGGGAGAATTGCGATGGAGGCCCAGGCGCCTGGGCCCATGACTGCCTCCTTTGCGGAGAGTCCGATAATGCCTACTCTAATGGGAGCCATGGTTGCTGGTCTGGGGGTTCAAGTAGAATGAAAGATGAGTGAAGTGTAAGTTTTCTTTCAGTGAATGAGATTGCAATGCTGAATATTCACAGTAGTAGAATCTCGCGGCATCGTTTTTAATATATTCCAGGAGTTCATCGATCTCTATTCTATCCAGACAGTCTATCAATAATATCTCGCGGCTCATGTAAGCGGTGGCTGGCAGGAATGCTGCGGTTGAATCAGCGCCTTCTCGCCCGAATCCCCGATTCGACGGATTTCCGGGCACGTAGATCTGTGGCTTCATGTTATGATGCAATGAACGGGCTGAGATGGTACTTCGGCATGAAAGCCCATCATTGAGACCCTAAATTGTGCCCGAAATATCACCATCAGTCCCGCGGAGCGGAGTGGTGGGGTGGCTTCCGGACTCGGCGAGCCGGGCATCAATGATTGGTTGGAACTCCGCGGAGTGATGACAAACCCCGAGATTGAACCAGGTCCAGCTGAACCTAGATTCTACGCGTAAACTTGCCCTCGTCGTTTTGCTTAATGGTTGATTCAATTCATATCTCTGGTGATTTATTCGAGATGACACTGGCTGCCAGCCGAAAAAAGTCTTGCGTTCTTTGCCGGACCAGTAAGGCGAGGTGTTCGCTCGGGACACCATGCCGGCGCTGTGAGGAAAGGGATTTGAGGTGTAGATACGACCACGTCCCCAAGCAATCAGCTGGGTACCGGTCACTACGTCCGGCCGAGACAATTGCTGACCGCGGTGTTCAAAGAACACTTCTCAATGACACGGAGCCATCGATCCGCCTCGAGAGTGAGGGCCTGCTTCCGGAGGACCACCCGCGTCTCGACCGCGAACCATCGATGGACTGGGCGAACCTCTTGTCAACGGAAATTGTGACAATCCCTTTGGGCTCTGAGCCTGGTCTACCGAGACAGCTCCTAGATCCAACCACTTTCTCCTTGAGCTTCGACTCGCCTCAACTTCGCCATACGGTGCTTGGCGGTGCCGGAGTACCGTGGCAACGAAGTAACTCGAACCTCTTCGGACCAGAGGACCTTGGTGTTTTGAGCGCCATGGAGGTTACAGAATATCAAGATCACGAACATCCTTCAAGTGAAATCCAATTGCACAGGGCTTTCAAGGATTGTCCGGCAAGGAAAATGCGGCCATTCTACCAAGACAAACCCCTCGCACCACGAATCACTAAAACGGTGGCGACGTGCTTTACAGCCAGAGTCCTCCTCGGCCAGATCTTATCTTATCCGAAGATGATGATCAAAGGTGGTCGAATGCCGCCTTTCATTTTCCCACCCTGCGCCATCGACGGGTCCGAATCAATAGCTGGATGTTGTGGCAAGGAACTTCACCAGTGTCTTCCAGAACCGCTAGCCATCTGCTGCAACCTCGTCCAAAGCTTCTATCAGAGGACTCCGGGGAGCGCGGCCTTTGTGTGGAGGAGTATATACAGTGAAGTAGGCAGAATCAGGCAAGAGGTGAGAGGTCAGCACTGTGCCACGAGTTGTCATCTCATTGATTAACATTTGGGTTGAACAGCATTCTTCTTATAACAGCGAACAGATGTTACATGCTCTTCAGGCCGTGGTTATATATCTGCTGCTTCAAGCCAATGACCTCCAATCAATACAAGAAAACAACATCAAAGCAATACTAGTAGTACCCAATGTAAGATGCCAAGATGTAGCCATGTGTTCTTACTAACCAGAGCAGCTGCTAGCCCGGTCGCTGCACCTGGCCCTAGATTACGAAGTCGACCTGACTAAGAAGGTCACTTTGGACCGTCGAGGCTGGATTCTTCGTGAGAGTACCAGGAGGCAGGTTCTGAGAGACCAAGTCAATTCGAGAAGTTTCGCTAACAGCAAGGGACTGCAGGATAATCTGTCTTCTATTTGGCATTGAGCTTTTGATGGACGTGGATCTGAACGCCGAGGAACCGGCGGATTGCGGTGGCTATAGTCTCCTGCCACTGCCCTCCGGCAGAGACTTGTGGGAAACCGTGTCCTGTGACGAGTGGCGAGCACGGTATAGGAGGCTACGAGCCGAGTCGTGCGATGAAAAAGTTCTGAGTATCCAGGATCTTCGAAAGGCCAGACGGGCTTTGGGTGTGGACTCTGAAGATCGAAGCCAGGAGGATCAGCTTGTAGCCCGGGTCGCAAAGTGGTGCGAGGGGATCGATGAGTTCGGGATGATGGTCTGGATGGCCGTCATGCTAGAATGACGGTATGCGGAAGAGCAAAACATCGTACGAGAGAGCTCGCGCTTTAGAAGTAGTGATTTTCAAATGGTAGATATACCCACTCTAAGTTATCCAGAGTTCTCTCGCTCCGCTTCCGCGATGTCGGATGGTTTCGGTGGCTGCACTACGGCGCCATCCCCTACAATTTGAGGAGCACGTTCGAGACGATGACCAGGCCCCTTACTATCGCCGATCGGGATGGGCTTTGATTTCCTGATGGGTAATGGATGCAGAAGGTCCTGGAAAGAAGTGACCTTCAAATACAGTTTGTCGGAGCTCTCCTCAGTCTCAGAGTATCGCGTTACGAAAAGTGAGAAGCTGAGATCCCCGTGCGAAAGGTCCACTGCTTGGCGGCCATCAATGATGAATTGCTCCATCAAACTAAAGGCTTCAATAGGCTGCCCCCGAGCACCACTGCTCTCGTGGTCTTTTATCTGCGACATAATACCGGCACGGCCGGTTGCTTCTTGCAGAGGAATCAAGGCGTAACGCAGAGGCTGCAGTGCAGAAGAATGCCGCTGGCAAATGAGACATACCTCACCGACCTTGACAGTCTCAAAGTAGACGCTGTATGAAGTGATGCAAGTAAACAGTTTTGATCCGGGCAGGGCATATTGCTGTCGCTGTGACTGCCACAAATTTTTGGGCCAGGTCTCCATCATCTCCAATGAGAATTTGGCCGGAAGCAGGGAACTGTCGATGCTCAAAGTCTCCGCCATCTTGGCCTGCAGATTGATCGACATACGCTCATCCACGTCCTTGGCGATGTATATAGTTTCCTGTTCGTGCCGTGTTGTACGTGAGGGAATGATGGTGGTAGGAAGCTCCCTAACGTAGATGTTGTCCCGGTGGTATCGCAACGGTATGAAGACGACATAATCATCTGGGAATAGCGTACATCTCAGACACGTTCTGTTCTCGCCATGAACGAAGAAACTCGCCAGGGTTGCATCCATGCGGATCCCTTTGTTAGTCGATGAGAATTCCTTCTCTTGCTCGCACATGGCCCAGCTGATGGACTTTCGTGAGGTAGATTCTGTATCGTACCACGACGCGAACTCCGAGGGATGTCGTGCCAGTAACCCGCGGCACTGCTGCCATGCTTCCTGTGGTGCGGTCCAGCAGAAGAGAGACATGTCGGTGCTGTTTTTGAGAATCTCTTCCTGAAGTCGCATGAAAGCTCGCGAGCCCTCTCCATAGAGCAAGGGCATATTGACACGGAAGAGACCGAGCAAGCACTAGGCCATGTCTTCGACCCGAGTCGTCCGCCTCTTTGACGCCCAAGACATTCTCTCGGCAATAGAGACCTCGGTGATGGCCTGGCTGTTCTTCAGTACTCGGGCAGTCTTGCCATGTATCCCCGTCATCGCCGACAATTGCCGCAGGGCGGCGCTGTCGGTCTTGAAGCCGCGTGAGTTCCATTCGCAGTCAAAGAACTCGAGCGTCTTGGGCGCAATGAGCTCTTGAAGGGTCCACCCACGTTCGAACCAGCGACACGCGCGCTTGTACACGCCAGACTCGGACATCCATAGCGTGGGAGACTCAACAGGTAGGTCCGCGAGATGAGCAAAGCAGATGGCTGAAAGCTCGTACCACTCGAACATTGAGTTGATCGCCTCCGAGAGTTCGGCACTTGAAGATTTGTCGATACAGCAGGTGTCCACCCATGCCCATTCCAGACCATTCTGCCTAGCGAGCTCGCATGTCTTCTGAATCTTGGTGTAGCCGGCTTTTTCTTTGGCAGTATTGAGTTCTGCAAACTCCTGGAAGGTCACTTCTCCGGATCCCCAGGTATGAGATGGTATGGCGTACGGTGGGAGGTCTGGAGGCATGAAAGCATGAAGCCTCAGACTCTCGGTGTCGATGAGCCACATGGCTTACGGCTGCGGTATTTCATGGCCTGGTGAGTGGACAATCAGAGTGCAAATGAGAGGCGGGAAAGCTTTAGGCGACTGTATGCAGATATCATGCACCTAATGCGACAGTAATCTCAGTTGGGATGACATTGTGCCTAAACTTGCCGAACCCCTGCACGATCTACAACACATGCACCTGGCGATCTCCAACGCTTCTCTTCCTGATCAACTCTGGCTTGACCAAATCTTGAACCTCATGATTTAGCTGCGACAGAGGGGTAATTAGAGGGGCCAGGGAATTGCTGGCGGAATCGTCGGACGAACATAGCATGGGCCCGGGAGGCAGCGTTTTTCGGCTGACAAGTGCTCACCAGTTGTCATAGATGAGTAGATGAGTGAAACTATGAAGCCATCTTCCGACTATCCACAATTTATCGCATTGCTTTGGACTTCCGACGCACGACATCATAACTGAACCTTCATCACTCAAGGCGTTCGCAGATATTCAGCTTGGTCGAGGACGAATGTGTCTTGGATCTAAGGTAGCCCATGACATTCAGCCCAGCACATTTGGAAATAGATTCTAAAAATTCAGCTGACGCTCCACGAGGACACTTAAAGAACAACACAAGAGCGCCCCGAATAAGTCACGAAGTACAGGCGGTCCTTAGTCGAAATCGCGTTCAGCTCGGCAGTAAGCCCGGAAAGGGCCGCACCGGGAGTTTCAGCCAGCCACGTTCCCCGTTTGCGATTCTTGCTTCCTTACAACGAGATCCCTCTTTAAGCACAGCACAAAAGTGGTAACTTCGACCTGGATATCGTTATTCTCGGCCTTCAAATGTTGTCGACGAACGTTTACCATGATGCTTACCCACGAGTCGCTAGGTTCTGGGGCTCCAGTCTTGGGCAATAACTAGCAGAAGCGAAGCCCTGGGTATAATTATTGTGCTTCTCGTCTGGTGACACAGAAGAGTCGATGGGCATGGACGATGATTGTTTTACTTTAGTAAAGAAATAATACCGCGATGGGATAAGTGAAGTCTTCCTCAAGACCTCAGACAGGCGATGCCACAAGCTCCACCTTGCTAAGTTGTTACCGAGCACTCAGCCGCATTATCGTAGCTATTACATTTTGGCTTTACTGAGCAGATGGCGTTTCTAGATAATACAGTGATGGTTGACAAGAAATCATATGCTTGAGTCAAGACTTGCCAGCCTCGACTCAAGCACCTTCTTTCGGCGTCGGGATGACACCCACAGAGACACACGGCGAGGGCTGACCCGTAGCTTTTTGGCGGGGTCATGCCCTGAGCTTCCCGTCCCGCCTTGAACATTATAGGTGCCCTCGGTTGAAATGGTATGGCAGACCGTAATTAGACCAGGAAAATAACGCTTGATCAGCTACTACGAATCATGAGACTGGAATCAGAGCTTAGGGGGATGAACTCCAGCCAGCCATATCGGCGTCGTGATTGCCCGAGACATTCCTACAATAGATCACCCATCAAACTAATATAGTCCGATCAGAATTTGGCGTTTATGAACTGTTCTCATCGTCACCTATCATCCTGGTTTCGGCTTCTTCTCAGTCCTAAACCGTGCACTCACAACTCAGCACCGCAACAGTTTCAGCCTGGAGTTGACTGGGCCCAGGAGCCCTATGCTTTTACTCCCAGCCAGAGTGTTTACTTGGATGAGTTCAGCGAAGCTGATCAGAGACATGGCATGACGGCGTTGTAAGTATGGCTAGCACAGTGAAGAGAGGTCATCTAGAGGAAGGTAATGTTGGAATGACGCCCCAAGACAGAGTCGCGAGATTGATCTCGTAAGATGACCACTCAGATTCATTTTAATCGCAATTTGGCTTTGGACTTCCTATTTCTTGGCGCTCTTGACGAGCTTGGTAAACCAAGCCGTTGTGGTATAAGATAAAGATAAAAGTCGTCGCAATGTGTGTCATCCTACAACTTTCATTCATCATCACAAACATCTCAGGCCTTCTCAGTTCACTTGAATTTCGAACCTCCTCAATAATCGCTGTCTGCGATCTCATTCAAAATGTCTCAGCCAGAGCCGTCCACACAGCTGGACCAGGAGCAGCAAGCCAGCAATGTATTGAAGGCCATGAAAAATGCGTCCGAGGTACTGCGCCCGTCTCCCTCCGGAACTTACATCATGTACTGACTTGTTACAGACGGTCAGAGGAGCCATCGCATCTGCAATTCCAGTTGCTAGTAATCAAGTCCTGACCGTCTCGCTGCCTGGTACCATCATTGACTGGAAGTGGGTTGATGCACGGGACGACGTTCTTTAGTCGGCTATGCTGATAACCCTTGTAGGGATTACTACTACAATGTTTCTAAGCACATCAGACCACCATTGGATGTTCAGGTCAAGGAGGCTCGGCTCGTTGACGGGATGATTCCCTTGTCTAAGTACACGGTGGGTCGCTATAGGTTCCTGTCCGACAGACAAGCGCTTACCAAACCTCAAACAGGTCGGCAAGACAGGCAAGTCTGTTGCTCGAAGCTATCTAGCGGCACTTGATTTGCTCGTTCCTGTAGAAGCATCTGTCGCCGGTGTTGTCTCCAATGAAACCACTGATGTTACTGATCCGCGTCTCAAGACAATCCAAGAGCGCTACAAGTATTCCATGCGCTATCTCACTGGTCCAGACGACACGCCCAGCGGAAATGGCCGCACAAAAGTCGAAACTTATGTCATGAAGCAGGCGGCTTGGGCTAAGGAGGCGGCAGCGTATCAGCATGCCCAGGCCCAGGCACTGGAGAGGCTCTCTCCTCCACCTGGAGCGACAACAGCCCAGATCAAGGCCGCTCAGGACAAGTATATGCAATGGATTCAGGAGCATTCGAGAGAGTTCAAGAACACCATTTAAACAAAGTATATGGACTGGGTAGTTCATGGTTACAAGTTTATGGTAAGTCTAGGATCTCATTCTCGCGCTACGGAGGTGTGTGTAAGTCTGCTAATAATCTCACACACTATCAGGTTGACTTTCATTTCGGTGTCGTCGATATTTCTTCTGGCATGAAGCGTATCGAAAACAGTAAGGAGGCCTTCCGTAATCTGACTGTCATTGCCTCGGATGGGTCCAGCGAGTATAACGGCGTTGTCCTCACACCCTCGAGCTGGTACGTCACTGTTCTCTTCTTCTTCTTTCTTTTACTTGCTCGACCAAGAAGGAGTGTTCGCACCGGGTACTGACTCATTATAGGGCAACTATGGTGGCCAAAAAGACGCTCAACTGGACGAAGAATCACTCTAAACCAAACCCATCTGAGATTCGCGCCGAGATCCGTCGTCTGAAGAGTCTTCTCATCTCTCATGAGACTCTGAAATTGGTGAGCCAACTTGCCCCTTATCCTATTATCATTAAACTTATGTCTTTTAGGCTATCACCGAGGACACGTTCTTCCCAGTGCTGTCCAGTAACACCGGAGACGACCAGACAAATGTCAAAGCCGCCTATGCCCAAGTTTATAGCGACATGGATACGAAGAACGCGGCTAGCCGGGGCCAAGACGAGCGTGGGAGCGTCAAAACCGACTGGCTCAAGAATAGATTTGGTGTTACCGTTCCCGCCGAAAATGTCCTGGAGAACCTGATCAAGCAGCAAAAGACTCAGGCCACGTCCAGCCTGGACCGTAATAACAGATCAGTGCGCGAGAATACCGAAGCGAGTAAGAAAACTGCTGGTATCTGGATTGATAAGCGGCTTGAACAAATCAATCAGGATATAGAAGAGCTCAACAAACAGCTGGCGAGCTCAGAGGCCGCTCCTTCGTCTACTGCACCGCCGATGTTGCCGGTTGTGAACTCTGAAGGCATAATCGTCACTGGGGACGAGCTTCTGGCCAATCCAAGTGAGTATATGACCTTTCGGCCTGAATGATACTTTTCTATTCACACTTAGATTAGGCCTCAAGAATCCAAGCGCTACTAGCGTCATCGATCTCGATAATGAAGAAAGCTGGCGCAATATAGCTGATGGCGGCGCCGATTCGTGGACAAAGGTCAGTTGACGCAGACAGCGAGCTTCTACATGTGTATCATTTCATTTAGCTAACCTATAACAAGATCTCGTGCAAAGTCAAAAGTAATAGTAGTTCCGCCGAGACGTCAGCGTCGCAAAGTGCCTCCACCGTCTGCGCCAGGGCGGGCTGGGGATGGTGGAGGACACGTACGTCTACCACCCACACTCAGAGCAGCAGGTAAGCTTTCAAGTGCAACTTTGACTATTACCAGACAACTGATAAACCATAGCGAGGCAATGCAATCCATGTCCAACCTCGAGGTTGAGGTTAACATGAACTGCATGGTTGTCGAGATTGAAAGACCTTGGCTCCACTCTGAACTATTTGTGGACGCTGAGCTCGACTCCGGAGCGTAGGTTCTCGTCACTATGCCATCAGGCAATCTATAACATGACATTGATGTTCTTTTGGCAGGTTCTTGATATCCCCTGGCGAGGATGCCCTCAGAGACGCATTTGACAATGGGAAAAACCTCATAGGAGAATACCAGCAATTCTCCTCCTACCCTACTGCCTTTGTAGTTGCTGCCGACATTGAACTCAGCGTAAGAATATTTCCTCCTGGCAATGGAAAATTTGTGCTGAAATTGACACTGACGTGGAATCAAGTTTTCGGGAGATACTAGTAAGCTCGAAAGTGCTGTCTCCGCCTCTTCCACCTCGCCAAACCTCTCTGTCGGGTGGGGTCCCTTCGCGATCTCCGGATCTCATAGTTCGTCCAAGTCCAAGTCCCGAACCAAGATGGAGTCTACTGCCACTGGCTGCAGGTGAGTCTAGATGATGCCTAAAATATCCGACGTTCAGATATGACTGACCAATCTTGGCTAGGATCTCCGTTGAAGCACCTCAGATTGTGGGATGGGTGCAGACACTTCTTCCTAAGCTTCCAAAGCCTAAGGATGGTGATTCCGCCATGACCAGTCCTTTTAGCAGCTAATTTGTATAATCACAGTACTACCCTCGACCGTGACTCAACTCTTTGAAACTTGTGCTTATGAGAACCATTCTTCATAGTCTGTTGGCATGTTGATCAACGTCCTGTCGTTTAGTTACGCCTCTCAAATTATGTTAGTAACTTGTGACTATTTCTATATCTGCGCAAAAAGTTACGGGACCAAGATAACAGGCGAAGAAACGTTCGCCAAATGTATGCACGCACATGACACAGCTAGTATGATAACAATCTCAGCTGGGTCGACATCCGCCGAGTTATGCAGAACCCCTGTTTGGCCAACGACACCTGTCCCTGGCGATCTCCGATGCTGCCATCATGAAAGCCCTTTGTTTACTACACCTTGCGTAGTATGATCTAACGGCGGTACGCTAAGGTTGTCGTATGATGATGAGCAGACTCGTCTACCAACTACAGGATGAGGAGCTCCAGCAGCATGGTTCTTAGGCAGAAAATATCTAAATATGATCAGTGTTCGTGCAATACAGCACTAGAGATCTCTGAGACTCGAGAACTCGCATTACATTGGCTCGAGAACCTGAGAATTACAGATGCTGCGAGAGAAACAGTAACAATGCCGGCTCATTGGTAAGCTCGCAAGTCTCTCAGTACATGTATCGCCAACCCCTTTCGACCCCCGAGCTCTCGGAGTAGCCCTCAGCTTCATCCAGTTTCTTGTTCAGTCGAATCGCACGCCACTTAGCCAGGCCAGCTGACATAATCACCAGAGCGCAACCCACCAGTACAAGACCGCCGCCTAGTCTGTAGAAAGGCTCTTGCGAACGCGGCCAGAAGTAGGGACTAAACCAGTGACTGACTTGGCTGATACAGTTGGCGATTGCAATGAGTGCGGCCTTCTTGCTTCGAGGGGCAGGAACGACAGTTGTTTCCCACGACAGCTGCAGATTAAGGCCGTTGTAAGTGCCGGAAATAAGAAGGAAAAGACCAAAGTAACGAGCTCCGATGTTCATGGTCGAGATCAGAACTGCACAGCCGACCGCACTGCCAATGATAGGCAGGACGATATGCCAGAAAGACTCTTGGTTCCGACCTGAGGACCAGGCGACAGCGTAGGCAAACACAAATGCGAATGCATATGGGGGAGCTTGAATGAAGTATGTTGTAAGTTCACCAAAGTCAAAGGTGTTGACGATCTAGGCAGAGTCAGTTATGAGAACCTCGGATCAAACTCAGACAGCTGGGGTCAGAGTGCTTACCGAAGGAAAGAAGTCTTTGAAACTTTGGGCAGTGACCAGGGAGAAATGCAACAGGCAGAAGATCCAGGTAAATGGATCTTTGACAGCATCTCTGAGACCATCCCAAGTGCCTCCGGCAGCTTCCTCTTTGCCTCCATTGGAGCACAGGATACGGTACTGCGCCATATCTCTCTCCTCAGGAGTCAGAAACCGCGTGTTGTGGGGCCAGTCTGGGAGGAGCACATAGGCAGAGAAAGCCACCAGGAACGTCACGATTCCCTCAATGAGAAAGAACCATTGCCAAGAATACAGACCCGAGACACCACCCATCGTAGTCAGAATTCCTGCCGCAAGGAAGCCTGAGATGATGTTGGATATGGTGTTTCCCGCGTGCCAGATGGCCATCCTAAGAGGACTCTCCTCCTTAGTGTACCAAGAAGAGGTCACTACTTCATGTTGGCAATTTCTAAAGCTGGCTACCAGGGGAGATGATGCTCTACTTACTCAGAGTGATACCCGGAAAGAATGGCGCTTCAGCCAGACCGGTGAAGAATCGCAGAGCAGCGAAGCCGGCACCACTAGATGAGAGTCAGTACGCCTTATGTAGTTCATTTCTCTACTAGAAATCTTCTTGCTGACCTTTTGAGGGCGGGAGTGCAGATAGTCGCCGCTCCCCAGGCTACCATCGTCGAAGGTAGAAACCATCTCGGATTTGCCTTGGCCAGCCACAAGTTGCCGGGCAATTGCCCAACAAGATAACCGATGTAAAAAGTTGAGATGCCTAAGTTCCACATGGTGTCTGACATATGGAGGTTATCCTGCATCCCGCTGAGTCTTGCGTTGGAAACATTGATGCGGTCGAGATAACTGAAAGTTGACTTCGTGTTAGTAATGAACAACTCGTCATCTGGGCCTGACTCACCTCATGAGAAACATGAGCGTTATACAAGGCATCATTCTCATATCGATTTTTCGTACAACGCTCTTATTGAGACTTGCCATATCGGTATCGCTCAACCCTCGGAGATGTTCGAAACGGTTCTGGATGTCTCTGGGAGTTGTGTCGTATTGCTGGCCAAGCTTCTCCTCGGAGGAATCAGAAGACTTGGTGGGGTCTTCAAGCTCTTCACACTTGGTGGCATCTTTGCCAGCACACTCTACCACCGCTCGATCTTCATTGTTGGAGATCATGATGCTTTTTTTGTGTAGTTAATCGAAGCCAAGTCTGTGGAAGCTTGGGACTGCTAGCAAGCGTGGTTAGTGTCTTCGAGTCTTGACTTCCTGCTACTACTCAGCTCTCCAGCCTGTGACATCGCTTTATACTTGTACAGCTCAGACTGGCGAACCAATTTATCTATAAGCTTATACGGGAAGCTTGGCAATCCGGGGACTCCAGACTACCCCGCGTCAACGTCGTTCATGGATCCGTACTAGGGTCAGACGGGAACGCGAGTAAGCGGCCTGCTCCCGCGGGAAGTCGGTCAGTTGAGTGGTCACAACGGGCTATCTTCACGGAACAGTCGCTAGTGATGTGAAGTGTTTCTCGAAATGCCGAATATCCGACAGTCCACGTCTGTTTTTCCACCATTCTCGTCTTCTCTGTCGCCACTTCATCTTCTATTCTGCTACTACCTGAAGCTGTGTAAGATTTGTCTGTCCGGAACAGATGCCCAGCTTGCCTTAGTAGCCCTGAACTACCTTTGGGTTGGATCTGGCAAAAGAAGATGTGTTCACCAGAACCACAGGTTTATGTCACACCCGATGGAAAAAATACTTGAGGCAAATATTGAAGTTTATTCGAATGTGCTGGGGCAAGTCTAGTTGGTAAAGAAGCACAGTGTCCAAAGCATTCTTGGATTACAGGGGGGGGGGGTCGCTACTTGTCCAAGAACCAAACCAAGTGCTTCTGAGGATGACACGGAGCGAAGCGGTGCAAAATCCAGCAGAATCCCTTGATATGCCACATCAAGATCTTTCAGCGGCTTAGTAGGCCAGAAACTTTCTCGTACACAGTGAAGACAATGCCTCCACTCAGAATCAGACGACCAAGTCTCATGGTGCTTCCACTCCAAAAGCCTCTTAAACCTCTTTCTGAAAGCACCATGCGGAACGCTTCCAGTGTTCCAGCCCCTCGAGCTGACTGTGCTCTAGTCTTGATCGTGTCGAAAGGTTGTGTAGCATAGACAGTAACAATGCCAGCAACCGACCCTGATCCAAAAGTGACTAGTGAGTTGTTCGGCAAGCCATGCTGCTTAGACTGTTCTCTGAGTACATTGTATGAGCCCATGCGTACTGCTGAGGTGGTGGACTGCTTCAAAGTGGTAGAAACGAGACCTCGGTAGATCTCTGCGAATCCATGCTTTTTCACCATTGTGACCAGAGCATTCGTTCCACTGGCGTACTTTCGTGCACCAGACTTTGCATCGTCAATGCTGTTCTTTTGGTTAGTCAAGCAGGCGAGTTCCGAGTTCTTGAAACAAGGTTACTCTGAGACCGAGAGTTGCTGATCACACTTACAGTGCTGTTTTCACTCTCTCAGTTGGTGTTACTGCTACAATACTCTCTACACATCCGGCAATCATACCCGCCAGAATTCCCCTTACTGGAGTCAAGCGACCTTCGCTGTCCATCAAAGAGTTCCTGATAGAGTCAAATGACAGGAAGCGTACTCCAGCTTTGAACGTCGTTCCCTAAGGATTGAAGGTGAGCATACTGCGCAGCGAAGCAAACATAGAATTCTCACAATGATGAGTGTTGAGCAGCCTGTGTAGATGGCTCTCGGTCCATCCTGTCGAGCAACTTGGAGCAGTACTGCGAATGGGTTTTTGGAAACTGCTGAGTGGAGCTGCGCTCTCGTCTTTGCGAACTCGAAGGGATACTTTGGGACGGGGTTGAAGTTAGCGTGAGTAATGATAAGGACTGCACTAAATCAGCCCGAAAACACTTACTGTAGTTGCAGCTTCAACAGCTCCAGCGATGCCGCCCGAGATTAGAGATATTCCTGGCGATATGATGTGCTTAATAGCCAGTTTAGACTTCTTATCCGGCGGGGTCGTGGTAAGGACCGCACCGCCAGGTGAAGCAGTCGAAGTGATGGATGCCATGATTTGTTTGAGGCTCCAAGACCTCTAGTAACGGTCGAATAAAGTTTTTCGAAGTTTATTGAAGAGAAGTCACCGAACCACGCGGAAAAGAAAAGACATGAAAATATCAGCAGGGTGAAAGCGCTGGGATGATGACTGGTTGCAGGAGGTGTTCACGGCTCGATGACGAAAGGCGAGAACCTCTATAGATTGGGAGATAATACCATATGATTCTGGTCACTCAAAACAAAATGCACTCACAGGTTGTGATCCTCCCGACTCCTCGTTCATGCTTGACAGGGGCGACTCTCGAGATCCCGCGGGAAGAAGACGGACTTACAGACGGCTGCCCATGCTTCAGCCTGGCCAATCAGAACCCTTCCCGTGCCCGCGGCCCGTCCAGACTTAGTAACTCCAAGATCGCTTTCTTCCCGCGGCAAGCTTCCCGTGCTCGCTTTCTTCCAAAGCCACAGCACCCCGGAGCAAACATTCTCGAGTCCACCAGCAAGCCGTCCACGGATACTGCTTTACTGCTCACTTCCCGCTCAGATCACCATGGGTCCGAAATCAGGCAATGGCACCACGGCTTCCGGACGTCCCCGAAGGCGGGCCGTCGAGGCATGCTCGTTCTGCCGACGGCGCAAGGTATGGCACTCTCAAGTTCACAGCGTTGTAGAGATGTCTAATTGCCTTTCAGATCAAGTGCAATAACGAACAGCCTACGTGCGCCAACTGCAAGACTTACGGCAAAGACTGTGTCTATGAGCCTCTGGCTAGCCCTGACGGAATCACACTGCACTCAACACCAACACGACGTCATGCCGAGCGCCAAAGAGGTGCTTTGCGGGGCACGAGACGGGAAACCCACACTCTGACAGGTGCTCGAGATGGTAGTGTGCGCAATGACACTCCCGCGGATCGCAACGACGCCAGCCCCTCACCAAACCCCAATGACCACGATCCTTCGACCCCCTCGCCCCCTCTTTCTAGGAACCAACATCCAGGGAACTCAGCGAAACGGGCATCTTCCCATCGCGGGGATGTATCTCGTATCGTGGTATCCGCAAATGGAGTCTCGAGCTACCATGGCCGCACCAGTGCCTTGTTCGAGGAGAACCCACAGGAGCGATTTGCGGTAGCTGACCTGCGCCCCCGAATGCCAGATGATTGGATCGAGAAAGGCCTGGTTGCAGAGACAGCCAAACAACGTGGGTTACATCCAGAGTCTCGGACAAGAAGTCTAGCCTCTAACAAGACGCAGGTCAACTTGAAGAATTCAATCATCGAGCGGGGACGCTTGATTTTGACGGCGTGGATCCAGAGCTTGGCATGCATCTGTTGTCCCTGCATTGGAATCGCCAGCATCACTCATTCTTGCTCACCTATCGGCCTGCGTTTATGCGAGATATGGCCTGCAATGGACCATACTTCTCCAAGATACTCTTGAACGCCATCTACTTTGGGGCTTCCAAGTTCAGCCCCCGAAGAGAGGTGCGGAGGGATCCCAATGATGTTCGTACCGCCGGCTGGGCCTTTCGTGAGCGTGTGCGCAAATTGCTCGGTGATGCGCTTGATAGTAGTGATATTACAACGATTCAAGCTTTGCTAGTGATGACGAATTCGCTGTTTGCGCTAGGGGATGAGAGAAGCGCGGCTTGGTTGTATGCTGGTTTGGCATTCCGCATGATTATAGACCTGGGCATGCACGTAGATGCTCCAGGTCTTGGCATAACACGGAAGTTCTCTGATGAAGATCTAGAGATACGACGGCGGGTCTTCTGGGGGGCATTCGGTAAGAAGGACTTGAGTCGCCGTAGTGAGCTAAAGCATACTGACATCATTTCTAGTTGTCGACAAGATCCAGAGTTTGTATCAAGGGCGTCCAGCATCCCTGAAAGAGTCTGACACTCTAGTGCCGATCAAGTTTCTCGACACATTCGAAGAGTTTGAAAACTGGAAGCCGTTTGCCTACTCTACCGACGCCACTAACTACCCGGGTTCGCCCGCCTACAGCGTATCGACATTCACGTATCTGTGCCGCCTCTCAGTCGTCATGAGCGATATACTGAGTTGCATCTACACAGAGAGGGCATTCGACAAGAGTGCTGCGGAGCTTTCCACAATGTTAGAGACCTTGAGCTCGAAGTTGGCAACTTGGAAAGATGCACTCCCAGCACATCTCATCTTTGATCCAAAAAGCAATGACGTTGTGCCGCCACCGCATGTTCTTAGTTTGCAGTGAGTCTATGGAATCCTTTAGTGAGGAGTCATGATTGACTGACTTCCATTCAGCGCCATGTACCATGTTCTTACCATCCTTCTCAATCGCCCGTTCGTAGCTGATGGCCATCTTTACAACACATCTCGTTCCATCTCGGTCAACTCGTTCATCACCTGTGCGTCTGCGGCCAACAGCATAGTGAGCGTTCTTCGAGTCTATGATAGGGTATTCTCCGTTCGTCATGCGCCATATTTGATCTCGTATGCCACGTACGTTGCGGCAACGATACACGTGCGGATAGCTGCCAAACGAAGCACAGAATCGGAGGCTCGAGAACGTCTAGAGACTTGCATGTCAGTGTTCCGCGAGAATCAAGAAACAAACTGGGCTGTCAGGAGAGCCAAAACAATAGTCGAAGGCTTGATGGCCAGACTTGGTGTCAGTCTTGATGAGGGGCAAAGCACACAGCCTGGGGATCGCATACAAGCCAGCAAAAGAACGCGGTCAGTCATGGCCACCACTCAGGACAATGCCGAAGGCTCAAATAGCTTGCCTCAAGTATTTCAGAGTCATGCGCCTCAGACAGCACCCGAGAACGAAACGCCTCCATTAGGATGGTCGGATATTGATGGAATCATCCAGAGTTTCGCAAGAGGTCAAGATCCTAACGCAGCTTCAGCGGACCCGGCACAAGCAGACACTCAATTTCAACAAGTCCCGCAACCAGCGGGTGCTCAAGCTTCCAGCTTTGGTCCCTCGGGTTTTGGTGGCAACCAAGCCTGGTTCCAGGGGATGCCAGAAGGAGATGGCGGTTCGGCCTCCTTTGATGACTTACTCTTTGGCTTCAACGGATCCGCTTTGGATAGCATGTTCTCTTGATCTACTCGGGCGGATGTTTGTACCTTTACCGGGTGCGGTATCTGTTGTTTTCATGAACCAGACTTTGACCCGGGGGCAAAGTGTTGACGCTCCACTGTTTTGGTTGCACAGGCGGGAGTGGTGCTTCTCAATCCCGCGGGAGACTTTCACTCCCGCGGCTATGCGCCACTGACACGGCCTCACCGTGACGCGATGGACGGCACAGATGGTGAAGACTCTGTTACTATTAAAAGCTCGCGTGGAATAGCGAATTCATCTCGATGGGTACACCGTTTTACTCAGACCTTCTTACGTTCAAATACTCTTACCTTCCGAGAGAGTTGGTACAAGACTGGTTGCTATCCCGCAGTATCACCAATGCCCTTCAACATTAGAGTCAACAAGACACTTATTGAATCTCGGAGATTCCTTCATCAAGTCTCATATCCTACTCTGCCGTCATCCTCCCCCATTCACATCCCCTTCGCTATCCCAATCATGGCAATAACACCAGCAACCACAAAGCGCCGGGTCAGGCACTCCCTTCCCGCGGTCCTAATGCGAGCCGGCACATCAAAAGGCCTCTTCATCCACCGGTCCCATCTGCCACCATCTGAAGCAGAATGGGCGACTCCACTCCTCGCAGCCATGGGTTCTAAATACAACGATACCCGCCAAATCGACGGTGTCGGAGGGGGGAGCAGCGTGACCTCCAAGGTTGCCGTCGTCTCACCATCCAGTAGACAAGGCGTGGACGTCGAGTACACCTTTGTCCAAGTGGCCGTCGGAAGCGAGACTGTTGATCTTAGCGGGAACTGCGGCAACATCTGCTCAGGGGTTGGCCCTTTTGCTGTGCAGGAGAGACTGGTCACTCCGATGCCTGGCTCTCGCGTGATCGACGTGCGGATATTCAACACCAACACATCGAAGCTTATCGTAGAAACGGTTTACGTTGACGAAGACGGAAACGCGGAGGAGGATGGAAATTGTCTCATCCCGGGCGTCAAGGGGCCCGGCAGCGAGATCAAGGTTGCTTTCGTCGAGCCGGTGGGCAGCATGACGGGCAAGCTCTTCCCCAGCGGAACGCGGTCTGAAAGGATCCTAGTGGAAGAAGTGGCTTGTATTGGTGACTTTGCGGTAGACGTGACTTTCATCGACTCTGCGAATCCCTTCGTTCTCGTTGATGCTCAGAGTCTACCCGCGGAAGTCAAAACACAGCCTCCAGATTCTCCTCTATCCATCGAAGTCGCCGAGGCCATCCGGCGGCAAGGAGCTGTACGGATGAGACTCGCCAGGACTGTCGAGGCTGCCGGTCTAGTTAGGGGGACTCCGAAGCTCGCGTATCTTTCGCCGCCAGTCGGCAGTAACAGAGAAGCGGCGAATATTCGAGTACAGGCTTATAGTATGGGCAAGCCTCATCCGAGTTTGCAACTCACGGGCGGCGTTACTCTTGCATATGCCGCCATCACGGAGGGGACCGTTGCGCACCGTGTTGCGAACCGGGATTCGGGTCTGGAGGGTATGCCAACACCCAGGAGAACACCGAGTCCGTCGACTACGAATGCCTCAGGAGGCCCTAGTATTGATGACAATAAGGTTCAACGCACCATTCGCATACAGCATGGCAGTGGGATTATGGAGGTAGAAGTTTGGGCTCATGAGGAAAAAGAGGGCCTTGCGGTCGATCGATGTGTAGTAACGAGGACTGCACGGAGGCTGATGGAGGGCAATGTGTTTTATTATTCCTGAGGAAGAGATCATCTGTCATTTGAACTTTGAGCATAGCCTGCGATAGACTTGAGAAATGACCAATCCTTTTGTGCTTGATTCTTCCGTGTCGCTGCAGCAGCAAGCCGTCAATCACATCCTGCTGTTCCGAGGTTCTCAGCTGTGCTTGACGTTGCGACCCTCGACATCACACACCGCCCACAACCCGCGCACCGCGTCCTTTTCGCAATCTTTCTGGCTAGAATGAAAAAATAATGTCCCGACAACAGTATTCATCTACAATCGATGTAAAAAGCGAAAAAATAACTCCTCGACGGGGAATTGAACCCCGGTCCCCTGCGAATCGTTGAATTTTCAATGACAAGCAGATATCCTCACCACTAGACTATCGGGGATTGGTGGATGTTAACATCCAGTGATAGTTGGTTGGAGGGAGAGGGGCCTAGCAGGTATATGTAGCTTTAGGCTGTGGGGCCCGCAAGTGCCTGTGACCCCACCCTACCCTGCTAGCACCTTCCGAGCGCACGACACGGGAAGGCACAAGTGGAGGATATGGCAGGAGTGATCTAGCGGCACGAGATTCTGCAGAGGTGCCTACCTACCTTGTTGTTGAAGACAGTGTATGGGGTCATTGTTGGGAAAGGGCAAGGTCAGCTGTTGCTGCTCAGATTGTTCAATTTACGCGAGCACTACCTTAGATGAACGAGATCAACTTGATGGCAAGTGGTGTAAGCAGCACAAAGACATATATTCTGCAGGAAACGACTTCCCTCTCAAAATGCCAGCAAGAGGCATCGCATGTTCGGCAGGAGTATTGCTTCCGAATAGCTGAAACACTTTTGTCAAACCTGACCAAGAACAGGAGACCCCAGGACCCAAGGCCTCGCGGAATAGAAATATGTCAAGTAGAACATGAAAAATCGTGCCTTGAGAATACTTCATTGATTCCAATCCTTATTGTCAAACATGGTTCTTGAACTGCAAGCATCGCATGTAACGCGACTTCCTCTTCCTAATCCTGCGTCCAAGATGACCATGGTCTATCTCGGCTCAGAGGTGCGAGTGCGAATCCCGCCAACTTTTGCTTCGGCTACGTAAGATATGCCACATTCCTATGCCTTCGGCTCGACAGCGGCAGCCTCCTTCTTTTGCGGAATCAGGTTGCGGAGCGAAAGGTCATACACGACATCCTCGACACGCTTGACATCATACTTGACCGCGTCGACACGCTTGCGGAGAATGTCATTCTTGAGGTTGAGCAGCTGGAACCCGGCAAACAGATCCTTGACGAAACTGCTGATTTCAACGGGCATGGAAAAGTCGGCGAGGGTGACGGCGTTGGTGGCGAGACGGGAGAGCTCCGAAGTCAGGTCGGTGAGGGCCAGGAGATACTCCTCGATGGTGAGGTGGAATGCATCGCGGTCCTTGAGGTTAACAGGGACTGCCAAAGAGTAAGCACAAGGCGGCCGTGGTTGCCTGCGAGGCAGATTGGGTGGTACCTTTGAAGATCTCGCCCACTTCCTCGAGAGTTAGGAGACGAGCGATGGGGCCGGGCTTGCCATCTGATGTGAGGCCGCCCAGCCACCCAGCAAGAAGGACGGTGAAGATGGCGTTCTGTACTTGGCGGTTCCACTTCTGGTTGTATCTGGCGAGGAGTCAGAGAATGTTGCCTGAACGGCATGAGATGGATGCCTACTTGTAGTATGGGTGCTTGGAGGCGATTTCTTGGAGCTCTCCAATGACCTCAATCTCTTTCTGAATGCCCGCCTGAACGTCGGCCAAAAAGGGGCCGTCTGCGTCAACAGTCAGTCGCGGGTAAATGCAGGCGAGACGGCCGACTGCAGTCATGCCTAATAGAGGACTCACACTGTTGACGCGGGGTGGCGTGGATGCGCGAGAGCAGACCCTGGACGTAGGAGATGGCCCGGTCGAGCTTCTGGACAGTCTGACTCATTTGATCCCTGACTTCCTGGTCCTCTTCGATCTTGTTCTTCAGGTGCTCAAAGATCTGGGGGTCAAGCAGGCGGGAGGCCGGCACCTCAACCATGTTGGTGTCGCTGTCCATAGTGGGTGGTGAGGTATGTGTCTGAGCGGCTGTGTTAGCAGAGATCTGGGAGATGTATGAGCGATGATGCAAAAAATACGGTCCGTTCGAAATCAACAGGTTTGACCGGCAAAATACGTGCGATTGTTCAGCCCTGCCTCTGCAACAACAACGATTTTGGTGGTGAGATTTGAATTTGGCAGATGGAAAGAGCCCCGCGATTTGTGACGTCGTCACGCTGCAGGAGGCGACCAGAAGAAAGAAATCAGAGTTTTACTTACGGCAGCAACTGGCTTTTACTGACGAGCAGATGATTTGGCACGACTAGGAGCAGTCCAACGATTTACTGGCAGTCTGGGCGGCTTCACGATGTCATTGACGGTGGTAGGCTCGAGGAAAATCATGCAAATGGAAGGCGGTCAGACTTGACAATTGGGGCAGCACTCGCCCAATATGGAGAGCTTCGCTCGACATTCTGCCATTGTCTCAGTATCTGACTACAACATTCATACAGTCAATTACAACGACAGCAGAACCAGTGATCGCCGACTCCAATACTGAATGAATGCAAACAACCTTCTTCACACGCCTGGACAAGCCAGACAGAGCAATGAAAGATCAAGGGTTTGCGTCGCCTGGAGGCAGTGAAATACCAGGGACACGGTGGAGAGGGCGTACGGCAAGCCGCAGAGGTCCATCTCCGAGAGATCAAAAATAGGAATAATCAATGTGATGCCAATAGGCATCTTTCAGAGATTAAACTGAAAAGAACAGATACTACACTTGATCTAAGCCAAAAGGCAAAGAAGAGCTAAGGAGAAAAGGAGAAAACGGGTAAAGGTGCGGTGGGTGGAGGGGATTATATAGGGTTGGGGGCTGGTCTGTGCAGAGGGCACAATCAGTAACGATACGTACCCCGGGCGAAATTGAAGCCAAACTTTTGCTGTGCAGTACGTACATGTACGTATTGCTGCGCCGTCCTGCCTAAAGTTGATGCCTCATCACGAGCTCACGATGCACATCTATCCAAGATCCTGCCGAGAATTGAGGCATTCATTTGAGGCAGCACTTAAATCTGTTGATGACTGAGGCAGCTTATTTCTGTTGCCTTCCTCATGTCCATACTCTAACGTGCGGCGAGCTTCCGCGTTCGAGGCATACAAGTGATATTCAGGACTTCAGTAGTGTACTGGTCAAGTTTGGTTAACTGTTCTGGTAACAAAGGCTTGTTCTTTCTTCTTCGTCAATGCATGCAGTCCCGTTGAAACAGTTGCTTGGTACACTTTACTTATTTAGAACACGCTATTGGTGATATCATAGTTGCTGGTTGATGGAGGTCTAACATTAGGACGGCAGTACCATGCTAGCAATGGCTTGTGGTTGCCGGCGATTTCGCACAAGAGTATCCGTAGATCTATCTTCACAACATGATATGCTGGCCATGTCTGTCTTCATTTCGATGCTGCGGCGAACATACGAAGAGGAAGTCCAGACTCGTCTTTTCATCATCTGTGAATGTTGCCGTCGGACTATCAAATAGAGGGAGCCAGCAATCCCCGAACCAACTTGAGCTATCCTCATTTCCTAGGAAGACCCCCGCTGATTACGAGCTCCGTCGTTGCGTGACGGAAATCCGGGGACTTTGAATGACCGCCCAGTCCGACCAGGCTTCAATATCGATCCTGGCTGAATCCAAACGAGCAATGCATGTCATGCAGGCATCGTCTAGCAAAAGGGGAGCTCCCGTCTGGTCGGAGATTTGGAGCTTCAGGGCAAACATCGATCGATATGCGCCGTCAGCTCAGGCGGGTGCCGCATGGCTCAAGTGCAGCGGCGAGCTTCGTCTAGCAGCGCGGTAGCGGGGGCCCAAAGTTCGGAATCTTTGATGACCGGATCTTAATTGAAGCAAAATCAAGCTTCTTATTGGCGGGTCGTCTAGACGAGAGGTGCATATGCGGGTCCCCTGCAGCCGAGGAAGCTCCCGAGAAGGTTAGAGTCGGTACTTGCTTCTTTCGTGTCGAGGCCACACAAAATCAAGTACCCCCAATTTCAACTCTGTTCGTGACCCTTGACTACCGGCAGAAAGGGGGCAAACACAAATGTCAACAAAATTTTGAGTGGCAGAAGGCAGGCGGCAAGGGCCCAATCGAAATCCGAGGACACACTACCAAGTTTGACGTGAAGCCGTCCGGGTCTGAATCTCTTGTTCTTCCCGTCCTGCACGCCACCCCTCGACGCCTCGTCTGGTCGTACTCGGATTCTCCGTCCCAGACCGCCTCCACATCCCCGATTGTCTATGCCTTGGACCTTGGACGAACATCGTTGCTGCTGAACAATCCCATCCTCGAACCCCGGCACGGACTTTGACATCTAGCTCAGCTACACGAGAGGTGCATGACCCCACGCTGAAGATTTCTGTCATTCTGTATAAAAAGAGGCATTCAACATGACGGGTAGATACTCGTTGCGCCAGACTCCTAGGTTAGTCGAATTGTGATTTCTTCTTTCTCTCTCTGGCTTGAAACCATTCCGCGAAGCAATTGGATCTATTGCGAATACATCAGACGACGCTTTAGCGCACTCCCCATTGCCAACTTTGTCGCAAATCGAACCCATGGCCGCCCTTGTTTCCTCTCCCAATGGGTTAATACTCTAGCGAATACCTTTCCTCTTACCAATGCTAACCCACCGAACAGGAAGAAGGAGCTCTTTGAGGGCATGGTCGAGACCCCTCGGCGTGTTTCTTCTAGACGCAAGTCTCCCGAAGCCGCCACCGGCGCAGAGGTTACCGAGTCGAAGCCGCAACCCCGTGCCCCGAGACGACGCACTACGGGAAAGTTCCGCGAGGAGCTCGACGATGAGACAGAGACGGTATCGGCGAACGGCAAGGCCGACTTTGACGAGCCTTTGACCAACGGTCACACCAATGGTCACGCCAACGGGTACACCGATGGACATGTCAAGGAGGAGCCCATCGCCAACGGCCACAGCAATGGGTACGCCCAGGTGAAGGTTGAGACCGCGACCAACGGGCATGCCGCCACGCCCAAGGAGGATGCCCTGCCGACCTACAAGAAGGGCGCCATCATCGACGGCTGGGAGGTCGGCACAGACCCCAAGATTGATGCTTCGGGCGAGTTCGAGTTCGGAGGCAGCATTGGCACCATGTCGCTGATGATCGGCTTCCCTCTGCTCATGTGGTACATGTGGATTGGAGCCACCTACTACAACGGCGGCGTCCCTACCCGTGAGCAGGGCCAGAGCTGGAGCGAGTTCGGCCGTCATCTCGTGGACCTTGTCTACACTGGCGCATACCCCTCCCTGCGCGCTTGGCGCATCTACTGGACCTTCTTCACCTTCGAGGGCATCTGCTACTGCGTTTTGCCCGGTGTCTGGGCCTGGGGCAAGCCTCTGGCTCACGAGAACGGAAAGCAGCTCAAGTACTTCTGCAACGCCTACGTCAGCTTCTACTTCACGATTGCCGTCATGGCCGTCCTTCACTTCACCGGATTGTTCCCCCTCTACACCTTCCTCGACGAGTTTGGCCCCCTGATGTCTGTGGCTATTCTCAGCGGCTTCCTCGTGGCCTTTGTTGCCTACTTCTCCGCCCTCTGGAGAGGTGCTCAGCACCGCATGACCGGCTACCCCATCTACGACTTCTTCCTTGGCGCCGAGCTGAACCCCCGCATGTTTGGCATCTTGGACTTCAAGATGTTCTTTGAGGTTCGCATTCCCTGGTTCATCCTCTTTGGTCTCAGCTGCGGTGCTGCCGCCCGCCAGTACGAAAAGTACGGCTACGTCTCCGGCGAAGTGCTCTTCCTGGTCATGGCTCACTACCTCTACGCCAACGCCTGCGCCAAGGGTGAGCAGCTCATCGTCCCGACCTGGGACATGTACTACGAGAAGTGGGGCTTCATGCTCATCTTCTGGAACCTTGCCGGTGTCCCTCTCTCGTACTGCCACTGCACCATTTTCCTGGCCAACCACCACCCCTCCGAGTACAAGTGGAACCCCATCGCGCTTGGCTTCCTCTTTGTCTCCTACCTCTTCGTCTACTGGATCTGGGACACCACCAACAGCCAGAAGAACGGCTTCCGCGCCCAGGAGCGCGGTCAGCTCGTCGCCCGCAAGACCTTCCCTCAGCTCCCCTGGCAAACGGTCAAGAATCCCAAGACCATCACCTCGGATAAAGGCGATGTCATCCTCGCTGACGGCTGGTACGGCTACGCCCGCAAGATCCACTACACGTGCGATGCCTTCTTCGCCATCTGCTGGGGTCTGATCACGGGCTTTAAGAGCCCCTTCCCCTGGTTCTACCCCGTCTTCTTCTGCGGCATGATTGCCCACCGTGCTGCCCGTGACATCCACCGCTGCCGTCAAAAGTACGGTGATGCCTGGACTCAGTACGAGCGCGAGGTTCCTTACCTCTTCATCCCCGTAAGTTTCAATCCTTGTTCTGCTGTGGTGGAAAGAATTCAGTGACTAAGTCCTATACAGTACGTCATCTAAGTGACAATTCCAAAACCTCCCCAAAACTAGGCGTCTTATGCCACGGCCATTGGGCCATATTTGTCTGTACATAATCCGCTTCTTCACCTGGAGCCGGTTGCCAAGTGGTTCTAAGACCGGTAGCAAACGGCAAGGGGTAATGGTAAACGAATGGGGGAAAAGGAAAAATTGCCAGCAACATGTGCGAGGAGACATGGTTGGCATAAAGACTTGTAATTATATAACAGAAGCGGTGCCTTGTTCTTTGACACCACCGCGGCTTTCTTTGTCACGTGTGGGCAGCGTTTTGTTAGGCACGCCGCCCTCTGAAATCGAGTAAAATGAGTAAAATGATACATCTATTCAAAGACGACGGGCTGTTTGGCAAAGTGACCTCGTTGCTTGTGAGGCCTCTCATGCAGAAGGCCACTTGATTGACTCTGGTGACGTCGTAAACACTTTGCTAGAGTTTACACTTTCTGGGTTACTGCTGTGGACAGGCAGCAAAGGGTACTTTGCCAAGGATTCAGGACTACAAGGTTGCTCGGACACCCTTTGAAGGGCTGGCACTACTTACTTTTGTCAAGGATGTACAGACCAAGGCGAACGCTCTTCAACATTCCCGCCGGTAGCTTCACAGTCCACCTCATTACTCAGCCTACATAGCCGGTGCTTCTCCACAAGAGCATGTCACTGTTTATAGCCATATCGACACCTAGTGAGGCTTTAGCAAGACATCATAGTCGCACTAGTCTGGGACAAGCAGCTGGGGGCGGCCCTTGCAGAATATGAACGCAGGTTGGTATCTGTTCTTCATCTTTGATTGTTGGCCAATGCTGAAATCTAACTTGAGATTTCCTGTCCGCTCAGCACCAGCCTATGGGAGTAGTAATGACGAGCCCCAAGGCAAT